GGGGCCTCCTCGTGGCCACGGCGTGGCGCGGTTCAGAACATTTGCGCGCTCGGATCCCGTGAGGGGTCTGGGGGCTGATTTTGAGCTGTCACTGTCCGAATTGGGCCTGCTGCGAGATGCATCGGCCCCCACTTGCCCACCGATCGTTGGCGGGGGCCCGATACCCCGCCCCGGCCATGAACGTTCGGGCGCGCTGTCGGGGGCCGATCGCCGACCTATCCGCGAGGTAGTCATCACCGATTCGGTTTCGATGCTCCCCCCCCGCCCCTGAGCGGGTCCCCTCCTGTCGGCAGCGAGCGAGGGGGGGAGAATGAGAAGGAGAAGGCCTTCTCAGAAGGCGGCGGGACTTCTCAGACGCCTCCGCGCCTCCTGAGAATGTTCCTGTGTCTTCGTGGAAGGCTCACGAAACTTCTCAGAAGGCTGGGGGACCTGCGAGCCTGCCGAGAAGGCCCGCCCCTTCCCACTTCCCCCCGCGCTCGCCGCCAGTCCTGAGGTTGCCCCTCACGTCCCGGCGCGCGCGGGAGCTCCAGCGAGGCCGAGCGGGACGCGGCCCTGGCCCAGAGCAGGGTGCTCACGGTGGAGAGGGAGGAGCTCGAGGGCCAGGCGGCCAGCGCTCGGGCAGAAGGGCAGCACGCTGTTCAGAGGGCTGGGAGAGGGAGGAGGAGGAGGAGGAGGAGGAGGAGGAGGAGGAGGAGGAGGAGGAGGAGGAGGTAGGCGAGGCAGGAGGGAGAGGGAAGAAGAGACGTCTCAGACGCCGCGATCGTCCAGTCCTGGTCAGTGCAGCACCGCTGCCTCGCTCGAACCCCCACGGCCCTCCTGCGTCGAGCTGGTGGTCAGCCAGCTCGAGCTGCCCCGCCGCGGTCGTGGCAGGCCCCGCACGCGCCGCGCCCGCCACGCTTGCGGCGGGCGGCTCCGGGGGCGGGCAGCCGAGGCGCAGCTCCGCGGAGGAGGAGGCGGGCCCTCTCCCCACCTGGGCGGCGCAGCAGGAACGGGCCGAGTGCGCTGACGTGCGCGCGTGAGCACCCCACGTGAGGTCGCAGGTAGGCGCTCTCGTCTCCAGCTGCGGCGTGCCGCGATGGCGGCCCGCGTAAGCTGCGGCGTTCCTCCTCCTCCTCCTCCTCCTCATCCTCCTCCTCCTCCTCCTCCTCCCCCCTCCTCCTCCTCCTCCTCCTCCTCCTCCTCCTCCTCCTCCTCCTCCTCCTCCTCTTCCTCCTCTCGCTCTGCCATCGTGCGTAATTAGGACCCTTCTCTTCTCGTCGCTCACCTGGAGCAGGCCAGGGGTCTGAGGTGACCCGGCGCCGGTTCCGGCGAAGAGGAAGGGCGGGGGCGAGGTTCGGGGTCTTGGGTTCGGGGAAGACTTGTTGCCTCTTTCGGCCTCCGGGGGTCGTTCTTTCTCGGACCCCTGGACCGTGAAAAACTCTTCAGGGGTGAAAAAATATACCAGATGGACCCCGAAATCCAGGAAGGATCTCGTGGGAGGCCGCTGGGGGGCCTTTTGGAGGCAGTTTGGAGGCCTCTTGGGGGCCATTTGGGGGCCACTTAAGGCCCATGTTGGGCCTCATGTGTGGAAGCCCGCTTCGTTTCGTGCGTTGAGATGCATCACCTAGGTTTGGCTTGACACTATTTCTACTGTTACGGGTGAGGCTGTGCGCACTGTCAGGGGGTGCAGAAAGAAGTGAGTGCTACTTTTGTGGCTCAAGATGTAAAACATTCTTTGTTATCGGTCTTGCTGCCGCAGTTGGTAGCGGAGCCTCGTGGTGAGGTTCCGGGCCGGAGGGGTTGCCATGGGGCGCTGCTCGACGGCGTTGCGTCGCGACCTCACGGGCTTGGAGCGCACACAGGACGCCCTACCCTGAGTAAGCGGACGATCTACGGCAATGTCGGGCGAAAGCAAACCGGACGACGACGGCGACAAGGATGATCAGAAGGCTGACGGCGGCGCGGAGATCCTAGCAGTCCCCCCCCCCCGGCCCCCGACAACTGAGCAGCTGCGGCAACCCGCAGCAACATTGCGTTTTGGTTCCACACCACGGCGGAGCAGGCCGAGGGACTTCGAGTGCTGCCGGAGCATGTGCCCGCGGCGACCACGAGCAGAAGAGGGACGGCATTTCTTTCGTCGGTTATTCTGCGAGCTGCATAATTATCAGATCCTTGGGGGAGAGGGAAACCCTGGCGGCCGCGCCATTCTGGCCAGAGCAGAGACACGGCCGACGACGACCAGACGTGGAGGACGAACGACTGGAAAGAATGGTGGTCCACCGAGTGGCAAGTCGACGACTGCGACAGGAGCAACACGCGGAAAAAGAACGGCGATTGAAGCACCAGCGGCGAATGGCCAGCGGGACCCGGCGCCGGACGAGGTGATATATTCCGATCCCTCAGCATGGCTCGGCTGGAGTCTGTACTGTCAAGGAAAGCGAGCTGTCCAACGGTTGGATCAGAACACCGACGTTGCTTTATTGAGACGGGCCGGAAGGTCCGTAGCCATTTTGGTTCGAGTCCGTAGCGTTTCGCTCAGGTCTTGACCTCACTGGTGAGGGGGAGTTTGCGGCCCCCACCGCTCTCCTGGGTCCCCAGGCACTCTTACATCTTTCCCGGACCCATACAGTCTCTTTTTCCGCGCATTGTACTGGGCCCAACCCACCTTCCCCGCCGAAGGTCGATGGCAAACGGATATCCTTTCTCTCTTTCGCAGCAGAACGGCAAAGGTGCTCAGCAGCAGTATGGGATCCTGGCGGGGAACCCCTTCGCCCCCCTCGCCCCTGGGCTTCAGTTCGTGTCAGCGGGCGGAGGATTTGGAGGCGCAGGAAAATTTCGTGTCGTTTCGAGGGGCAAAGCGCGCGTGCCTCCACCCCTGGGGGCATGGGCCTGCGTCCAATACACTTGCAAGCGCAACGATCCCATGTCGACGGTGTGCAAACATTGCGGCGCCCAGAGAGTTCTACCAGTATTCGGAGGTGGAAAGATGCAGGTTCAGCATGGGGTCTGGCGAGACCCACCAGCTGTCTGGTTGGGCACCTGGCATCGCTCACGAGCTCCTGCTGGTGGTGGTCATGGCCTTTCTTATTCTGGTCGCGGTCACAAACAGTCGGCTGATTCTCACGACCCTACTGAGGAGCAGCTACCAAGGGCTGAACTGGAGAAGCTCATCGAGACATTCACTAAGCCCGGGGACGCTCCCACGTCATCCAAATACAAAGGGGTTCTTCAGCGTCGTACCAGATACACCAAGTGTGAGCTCCCTGTTCAGCAGAAGATATCCCATGCTTTCCACCAGCTTTGGTCGGCGGAAAATCGTCTTCGACGAGCGGTCGATCAATATGACGCGATGGAGCGGGCCTTGTCAAAGCAGAAGTCAGAGGTCAGCCGCCTCACAGAGGAGATGGGGACCTTTGAGCAGACGCACAGGTCCCTCATTCATGGTCTTCACGCCACAGTGGCAACCCCTGCACCATAACCTGTCAAGCTTTCAGACAAAGGTGTTCTGGACTGATCAGTCGAGGACCTCCCCATCGAATCGGGGGACGTGCTCGGCATCGACGATCTCGAGGGAGTGGAGCTCAGCGAATCGGACCGCCTTATCGCAAAAGGCCTTGTCACAACGCTCAAGACCAGCATCAAAGAGCAGGCAAAGGCCCTTTTTGCTACAGCAATCGAAAAGGCTTCCGCCATCAAGAGTGAACACGCTGAGCTTCTCACCAGGTTGGCATGTAAGAAACGCAAGACTGAGGGGGGACCAACGGCAGGTGGGGGCTCCGAGAGGCCTAAGTCTGGGGAGGCGGCGGCTGCGGGGCCACCCCCTGCCCCTGGATGTGCCACTCCCGCTTGTGGCCTAGGCCCACCGTGGCCAGAAAAGCCCCTCTGTTCCTGATTTGGCGTCCCTTCTGGTAGCACCTCGATTGTACCGCGCCCGCCGGAGCCACCGACTCGCTCTGAAGTGCCCGCGCGTCAGTGCAGCCTGCGAGATGCGCTGGGAAGCCCCCAGCGGTCAGCACCACGTCGGCCGCGCCGGTCGCGCCAGGCCGGCTGACCGCCGTGCGCCCGGGCCTGGGCGCGTCAGCGCTGCCGCAGCGGTACGCCAGGCGGCGCCGAGCAGTTATCTCAATCGACGCCGCCTGGATTCTTTGGTATCGCTCGGACGTGTGCACTTTTTCTCGGCGGGGACTCTGAAGGAGCATCCTGGAGCATACTGCGGAAAAAAACACGCACGAAACCGCAAAAAAACACAGGGAATGGACGTCCGAGCGATGGCCAGATTCGCCACCGCCCGGATTTTGCACAGCAAGTTGCGAGTGGGTGGGTGGGATGATTGCGCGAGCAGTGGAGGCGTCAAGTCACGAGTGAGCATACGTCAAGTCACCCACATGCATGGCACCCCGCACATGGTGCACATCATCGGTTGCACCACATCGTTTGCAAACTGACATTGCGTCATATATAGATATATATATATAGATATTGTACCACACACGTTACACACTATATGTTGTCACGCGCATGTTGCGTAACACATTGTGTTACATACAAACAGGGGTCCACGCTGACTAGCACACGTGTGTTGATACGTTCTGTTATGAGAGGGGGAGGAGGAAACATGAACGGGTGGGGCGAGGACATGTAGCGCACAGGGTGATGATTCGCTTTGCACGGCACTGCACAGTGCGAAGTGCAGGGGATGGCTGGATGAGGGTTCCTCTCCCCCTCCGTCTTCGCCACATCCCTCCCAACACCTTCCCTCCTTTCCCCGAGCTCTCCTTGCGCTCCTCCGCGTTCTCCTCCGTTTCCACCAACTCTCCGATTAGCGTTTTTTTCCTGCGGCTCTCATGCTAGCCCTCGCCCCCTGCCCTGAAGCCTCTTTCCGTGTAGCCATCCCTCCATTACCCCTCTTCTGCCTTGAGACCTTCATCAAGGACGCAGCATGTGCCCAACAACCGCTAGGCGAATTGCACAGCTTCCGCGCGAGTGGGAGGTGATCCTGACGATCGGCCTACGGGGGAAGGGCGTTCTTGCACCCCTTCTTGGGAGGCCTGTACCCTGACGGTATCCCTTGTGAAAGCCAGTCGCTCCCGATAGTTCCCGTGCCTCGCCCCCTCTTTGCACCAGGTGGCCAAAACCGCGCTGGAGAACGAGCGGCTCCAGTCCGTCGTCGCGGACACGCTGGCGGAGAAGGACGGCCCGTCCCCCCCCCGTCTCTTCCTTCCTCCTCTTCCCCGTGCTGCGCTCGTCCCCCACCCGAGGAAACGAGGGCACGGATCAGTGCGCGTGGATCGGCGATGGGTCCCGCATCTCTGGGAGATCCACGCGCTGCGTCGCCAAATGAGTCGGCACCGGCCCCATGCCATCGGGGGGGGCGTTTGCCGCTCCGTGGATCTGCCGCCCGCGAGCCAGCTCCACCGATCCAAAGATCCGCGCCGTCGTGTGCCATGACCCGCCGGCATGGCACCCGAGAGGCCGCAGACCACCCCGCTCCCGGGGCTGCGTGCTCGGACTGCGCAGCTCCCTTCCCCCCCTTTCCCCTCCGCTGCCGTTTTTTTTTTTCTCTCTCTCTCTCTCTCTCTCTCTCGAAGGAGGAGGAGGAGGAGGAGGAGGAGGAGGAGGAGGACGAGGAGGAGGAGGAGGAGGAGGAGGAGGAGGGAGGAGGAGGAGGAGGGAGGCGGGAGCTGGCTGCACGCCCCGGCGCCGAACTTTTTGTTGGTCGGCGGCTCCGAGGCAGCGGACGGGGAGCGGAAGCGGCGTCTGGGTCGCGGTACGGGGCTGGTCGGCGGCGCCGAATGCGCAGGGGAGTAGGCGGAGCAGGGGCAGGATGGGGGTTCTCTGGCGCGAGATCACGACAGGCGTCCTTGCTGCCACTCTCGGCAGCCAGGAGGCTTCACCAGGTCCCGGGACCGCCAAAGAGCGATTCGGGATAAGCCTGTCCCAAGGAAGGGGTCCAGAACCTGGGGGAGCCGCGTTGCGAGCAAACATGTCGTCGGAAGTTTGCGAAGGAGGAGGAGGAGGAGGAGGAGGAGGAGGAGGAGGAGGATTAGCACGTGGTTGGGGAGCGCAGCAGGGCAGTTCCGTTAAAGCCCCGCGTCCTGCTGCAAGGGCTGGGCTGCTTGGATTTTGGTTGCTTTACTGGCAATAGAATCCTAGAGCATGAGGAGGGGGGGTGCTCTGGCAAGTCGACGGAGCTTTAAACGAGGACTTGGGAAGGTTCCCCGCGCAGAGGAGGTCCCACTGCGTCATGTCTCAAGCTCTCTTGAAACCTTTGCCGTTATCGTGAAGCTCCCTCATTTTCGATACGTTGTATTTTCCGCAGCCAGAATACATGGTCACAAAGTTTCAATTTCGCGATTGACGAGCAGCAAAATACTTGTGTCCCCTGGGGTTTCGCTGCTATATCTGACATATGTACGTGATGGGCTTCGACAAGCCTCATCTGTGCGAGACGCGTAAGTTCTTTCAGAGCGCCTACTCTTACACACCGTACACAGCCACTTCTGGAACTTGTCATTCCTCTCCCATGAGTGTAGCATGTTTGGGGTCCTCGAGACCTTGGGCTCTGGCGGAGGAAGACCTTGCCAATCCCACAGTGATTCGAAGATTTCAAGCTTAAGCTTCATATCTTGGCCTTGTTGCCAGGAGCGCTCGGGTGCTCATTGGCCGGAGTTCTCCAAGTGAGTGCCTGCTTATCACTGTGTCATTGCTGGGTTGCCCAATGGATCCTTGCGGGGTGTTTTTCTGCTACGCTTTTTCTCTGGATCTCCCGTACCTCTGCCATTGATAGGGAGGTGACGATGGTTGCGGGATGTTCGGCATTTTCTGTGGTCGACCATTATACTCCCAATGTCACGGGGCCCGTCGAGGTGTGTACGTGGTGCTCGGGAAGTGTGCATGGAGTTACGTCAGTGCCTCGAGGATCCCAAGCTCAAGACACAGCTTCCCCGACAAAGAACAAGCTCACGACAACCTATGGCGATCCCCGTAAGGCTTTCGAGAAGGGACTCAGGAATTGGAGTATTGGTTTCGTGGACGGTGTCAAGAACTTGGGTTCGAGATTGTTCTTGTGGTTCCTTGGCCTCTCGTAGAATCCAGAAGCAGTGCCTCCAGGGGGTTCGGAAGCGAGTGCGCGGGCCCCGCCCGCGGGCCCAGCTCCAGCAGGAGGGGCTTTTCTGAAATGTTGAAAGGCGGCTTGTAATCCGGCCTCTGTGCGCGGCACCCGTGCCACGGGTACAGTCGGCCCTGATGAGTAGGTCGACCCTCCCAAATCAAGAGTACCCTCGTGTCCTGTATCTCGCGGCCCATGCCTCCTACATTCCTATGGCAATGTGGCCCCTGGAAGGGTCTTGTGTCCTGTCGCGCGTCCTGTCCAATCAAGTCCGACTGCATGAGCGTTTCGCCCCTACATTCTCGGGCCAGCTGCGTGCAAATCTTGTGCGGTTCAGGTCCTTCTGGGCGAGGGCGCGACGGCCGATCCGACTTGTGCAGCCAACGCAATTGCCGCTGGCTTTCGGAGGGCGCACTCGTCGAGACGGGGGTACCCCCACCACAAGGTGATCGGGTCTGCGTTTCGTAGGTCGCAAGGAGTGTTTCAAGGCAGGATCCGCGGTCCTTGCTCGACCGTCTTGGCCAGTCCAGCGCGCCTGGGGTGGACCGCCAAGAGCCGCGAGGTTTGGGTGACAGGCGCTCGGGTGAAAGTGGATTGTCAGCTGGTCTACCCAGGCGCGTCGACATCGACGCGGACATCGGCACAGAGCGCGCTCGTGGTATCGACATCGGCACGGAGTTCGCTCTTGACATCCTCCATTGGCGCCTGGGGCTTCGAGAGGCTCGAGCGCCCTCCCCCGCCCCCCCCCACCCACCGGGCGCAGCAGTAGCTCCGACGAGAGGCGTGCCAAACGAATGCCCAGATCCTCGGGGCCCGCGTTGCGGGGTGGGCGGGTGGACTCAGCATCGCCTCCATGAGGCTAGATCAGTGGAGTCTCCTTTTTTCCGCGTTTGTAAGGCCGAGCCTGGAGCCAATTTTCGGGGGTGGGTGGGCGATGACGTCACGTTTCGCGCCGACGGCGTCTGGGAATGCTTAGGAATGACTGAGGACGGGTAGCAGCAGCATGTAGGTGGCGATCTGCACCACAGCGCCGCCTGTGTACACCACAGTGCTGCGTGCACCGCACCGCCTGTGTACAGCACACCGCCTATGAACACCACAGCAATCGCGAGCAACAGAGCGCCTGTGTGCGCCACAGTGCCTGCGTGCACCACAGCATCACAGCGCTTTTGTACACCACGGCGCCTGTGTGCACCAGAGCAACCGTGCGCTACACAGCACCAGTGTACACCACAGCGCCCGCGTGCACCACAGCGCCTGTGTACACCACGGCGACAGTGCGCACCACAGCAATCGTGTTCAACTGAGCGTCACTGTTGTATATAGCTCTCTTAAATGGAATCCTTATGCCAACATGGATCGCCTGTGAACTCCGCCGAAACAATTGTTGGATAAAAGGATTTGCAAGAAAATCGTTATGGAAAAGGGCGCGCCGCTGAAAGCTACGAGTCCCCTCGAGTCCTCCCGCATCACCCTAATGTTTCCCATCCGAACAGAAGGCTCCTGCAAAATTGGCCATCGGAGAACCAAGTGGACTGCTTCAATAGACCATTCTGCGGTGCACGCTGAATTGCGCACGTGCGCTGTAGCGCCGACCCGCACGACGGGGGGAAGGGTGAGGGAGGAGGAGGAAAAGGTGGAGGAGGAGGGAAGAAGGAAGAGCATCGCATTTTACTATCAGCACTTCCCTGGCGTGGTGTTTAGCTGTGTTCAGCAGATCCTCACTGACATGCCCCGTCTACTTGTCCTGTGCATGCAGGCGCTGTGGTGGACACCGGCACTGCGTTGTGTCAGGAAGCGCTGTGGTGTGCACAGGCGCTGTGGTGCACGCAAGCATTGTGGTGTACACAAGCGATGTGTTGCACATGGTTGCTATGGTGTCGCTGCGCCCTGGGTGGCTGCGAATTGCGCAATTGTCGCCACTCGTGGGGTCTTGGGGGGTCCAGCGGAGTCGGGGGCCACGCATATTCATTTGAGACCCACTCGAGACCTCGCTGCTCTTGGGTGGCTGCGAACTGTCGCCTTTTGCGTGGGCTCCCGGGAGGTCCAGCGCAATATGGGGCCACACAGATCTATTTGAGACCTCGCTGTTCCCTGGGTGGCTGCGAACTGCGCAACTGTATCCACGTTCGTGGGCTCATGGGAGGTCCAGCGCAGTATGGGGCCACACAGATCCATTTGAAACCTCGCTGCTCTCTGGGTAGCTGCGAACTGTCGCCTCTTTCGTGGGCTCCCGGGAGGTCCATGGCAATATGGGGCCACGCAGATCTATTTGAGACCTCGCTGTTCCCTGGGTGGCTGCGGACTGCGCAACTGTATCCACGTTCGTGGGTTCCTGGGAGGTCCAGCGCAGTATGGGGGCTCACAGATCCATTTGAAACCTCGCTGCTCCCTGGGTGGCTGCGAACTGCGCAACTCTACCCACGTTCGTGGGCTCCTGGGAGGTCCAGCGGAGTCGGGGACCATGCAGATCCACTTGAAATCTCGCTGCTCCCTGGGTGGCTGCGATCTGCGCAACCGTCGCCACGTTCGTGGGCTTCCGGGAGGTCCAGCGGAGCCAGGGGACACGCGCATCAAGCAGAAATTTCGCCGCTCCCTGTGCGGCTGCGATCTGCGCAACCGTCGCCACTTTCGTCGGCCCCTGGAAGGTCCAGCGAAGTCGGGGGACACGCAGGTCCAGCCGAGACCTCGCTGCTCCCTGGGTGATTGCGAACTGCGCAACTGTCGCCACGTTCGTGGATTCCTGGGAGGGGCACCCGAGTGGGGGGACGAACAGATCCAGCCGAGACCTCGCTGTTTCCTGGGTGGCTGCGAACTGCGCAATCGTCTCCACTTTCTGGGGCTCGTGGGAGGTCCAGCGGAGTGCAGTTATACGCGTACCCAATTGAGACCTCGCTGCTCTCCGGGAGGCTGCGAACTACGCAACCGTCGCCGCTTTCGTGGGCTCGCCACTTTCGTGGGTTTCTTTGAGGCACGGTGGAGGCCAGGGCAGCGGGGATCACTTCGAGACTTCGCGGCTCCCTCGGGGGCTGCGAACCGGCGCAACCGTCGCCACGCCCGTGGGCTCCTGGGAAGCATCGCGGAGTGCAGGGCCACGCAGGGCCCTGCGAGCTACCATGCCACCTTCTGACGGCGCAATTTGCGCCACTTCCGTGGGCTCCTGGGAGGCACGGCAGAGCGCAGGGCGCCTGTATGGGTACGCGCCCCACCTGGCGCGTGGCTTCGTCGCGCGCGGCGGTGAGCTGGCAGGGCCGCTGCGCCTCCCCTCCGGGGGGAAGCGCCGGCAGCTGCAGCGCCGGCTCGACGCGGCGCTTGGCGGCCCGCCTGCTCTGGAGCTCGCGGCGCTCGTGGGGCAGATTCAGGAGGGAAAACACACAGACACAATTAATCGTCGACTCCCAGGAAGATATGGGAAAATATGGGAATTGGGCGGGAAGACAAACACCCAGAAAATTCTTTACGCTTCGCGTATCCCCACCAGCCCATCTCACAGCAGCAACTCTTGCGAAGCATGCCGACAGTCGTGTTTTTCAGGCGTGTGTCCGCTTGGCCCCGCATATCTCCCCTGTTCCTCCTTCCTCCCGCCTCCTTGTACATCCTCCTTGTGGGGGGAGCGGGAGAAGGACGAGGCGGAGGAGGAGGGAGAGAAAGCGCTCCTCGTGATTTGAGTCGTTTGGGGTTTCTCGTCCTGGTGTGAGTCGTTCGGGCCCTTCTTCCTGGTGTGAGTCGTTCGGGCTCTTCGTGGTGTGAGTCGTTCGGGCTCTTCGTCCTGGTGTGAGTCGTTCGGGCTTCTCGTGGTGTGAGTTGTTCGGGCCCCTCATCCTGGTGTGAGTCGTTCGGGCCCCTCCTCCTGGTGTGACTCGTTCGGGCTCCTCGTGGTGTGAGTCGTTCGGGGCCCGCGTCGTGGTGTGAGTCGTTCGGGCTCCTCGTGGTGTGAGTCGATCGGGCGCCTCGTCCTGGTGTGAGTCGTTCGGGCCCCTCCTTGTGGTGTGAGTCGTTCGGGCTCTTCGTGGTGTGAGTCGTTCGGGCCCCTCGTCCTGGTGTGAGTCGTTCGGGCTCCTCGTGGGGCCTCTTGGGGGCCTCTTGGAGTGGGGCCTCTTGGGGGCCTCTTGGGGGCCTCTTGGGGGGGGCCTCTTGGGGGCCTCTTGGGGGCCTCTTGGGGCCTCTTGGGGCCTCTTGGGGGCCTCTTGGGGGCCTGTTGGGAGCCTCTGGGGGCCTCTTGGGGGCCTCTTGGAGGCCTCTTGGGAGCCTCCTGGGGGCATCTTGGGGCCATCTTGGGGCCTCTTGCGACCTCCTCAGAAGCGCAAATGAGCGCTACCCCCTTGAGAAGGACAAAATGAGCCCAACACCTTCGTAAAATCAATGATTTTGAGAACAAGGAAGAGGAGCGCTGCCCCCTCAGAAGGCCAAAATGGGGCCGAAACCGTAGTAAAATCAATGATTCTGGCTTCACAGAAGAGGAGAGGGTTTTTTCGGCGCCCCCCCGTCGGGGGCAGAATCCTCGTGAGGGGTGTCGTTTTTTAGCCCTCCCAGGAGTCGAACTTGACCCCCCTGACCCGCCGGACCCCCTCTCCAGGTCCAGGGGGAGGGGGTAGGGGGAGGGGTAAACCCCTCCCCGAAGGGGAAGAAGGGGGGTTGAGAACAGAGAGAGCTCGCTAAACCACTCACGCCCAAAGGGCTGGTGGGATATATGGGAGAATATGGGGCATCATTTTCTTTGTGTGTATTTAGTTGTGTGTCCCAGGGCCCCTTCACAGATGGCCGCCGGCCTCGGCGCCCCGGGTGGCCGCACAGGCCGGCGGCGGGCGGCCGGCGGCCGCGGCGGGGGCGGCCCCGCGGCGGCCCGCGCTGGCCGCGAGCTGCGGGCCCGCCTCGGCGCGGAGCGTGCGCCCGGTGGGCGGGCGGCTTCGCCCTCCCTTCCCTCCCCTCGACAATTACCCAACATGAATACTACTCTCCCTCTTCCCCTGATGACGTGCTGGGAGTGTTCGCCCCCCCCCCCCCGTCCTGTTTTTTTACACACGCACACACACACACCGGTTTCCCGGGAGTTGGGTTTTCGCTTGCATTTGTGTTCCAAATGCTGCTCTCGCTGAGGCGCCGGCCTGATTTTCGGGCCCCGCTCGTTCCGAAGCGTGCTCCCGCTGCAGCGCTGGCCTCATTTCCGCGCTTCCGCTCGTTCCGAATCGTGCTCCCGCTGCAGCGCTGGCGTCCTTTCCGCGCTTCCGCTTGTTTCGACTCGTGCTCCCGCTGCAGCGCTGGCGTCATTTCCCGTGCCATGCCACGGCGTGCAATGCAATGCTAGGTTGATATTACGCTTTGCGGTGCTCTTCTACGCCATGCCATGCCGTGCTCTACAATGCATCGTACCCTTTCGGGATCATTGCCCTGCTCGACATCCGACTGTGCGAGTAGAGAGGGGACCTGCGCCATGGTAAGGGATGGGAGGGAGGGGTAGGATGTCAGATATGACGCGAGCGCTCCTAGCTTGCCCCTCCCCCCCTCCCCTCCCCCCTCCCCCCTCCCTGCCCTCCCTGCCCTCCCTGCCCTCCCTGCCCTCCCTGCCCTCCCTGCCCTCCCTCCCCTCCCCTTCTAAAACGACGCGAAGATCGGGACAAAATCGGATCGGGATAATTCGAAATCTCCTGGAGGATGTATTCGGCGCCGCGGCCGCTCCAGAGCGTTCCGGAACGCTCTGAGAGCGCTCCGGAACGCTCTGGAGCGATTTATCCCGATCCTAGCCCTGTTTTGCGCTCGTTCTGTCGTGTCGTCCCCTCGTGGTCGCCCCCCCTCTTTGCCGCGCGGCTCCTCCGCGCAGGTAGGAAAAAGTACGACGCGCGGGGCCCGACACATTGTCAGGCGAAGGCCTTTCACCGCGCTGCAGATGTCGCAAGATGTTGTTTTTTTGGTGCATTGGAGTGTTGATCTAAATGCTCGCCTTGCGTGGAGGAGGGGCTGGGTACGTTTCCGGTAATTGTCAACACTGGGTCCCTGGAGCTCTGGGCCACCCTCCGGGGATTTCTGCTCCGCCCCCGACTCTTTTTTGCGATGGCCCCGGAGCCCCGCGAGTGCCCCATGGCCGCCGAAGCGTCGAAGAGCCTCTGCTTTGTTTTTCCACTGCGTTCGGAGCCGGGTCCCCCGCCCCCCGCCCTCCCCCCCCCGGAGGACGAGGGGGGGGAGGAGGAGGAGGAGGAGGAGGAGGAGGAGGAGGAGGAGGAGGAGGAGGAGGAGGAGGAGGAGGAGGAGGAGGACTCCAAGTCGGGCCGCCCGCTCCCCCCCCCCCCCCCGAGCTGCTGCAGGAGCGGCTGGAGGGCATCGCGAAGGAGAAGGCCGAGGTCGAGCGGCAGCTCGCCGAGGCCGCCCGACCTCGGCCGACGCCGCGCCGCGGGCGCGCCGAGGGGGGAGGCCCTGCGGCGGGGCGGGCCGGGGCGTTCGCTTCCGGGGGTCCCCTTCTCCCATTCGGCGCGCTCGAAATGTCAGATCAGAGCCCCGAATCATCAGGGGTAACTCGGGTCAGGGCTAACTCGGGTTCGTTTTTCGGGAATCCAAACCCGAGTTACCCCAGACCCGAGTTATCCCGGATAACTTCCGGCGTCCAGAGCCCCGAATCATCAGGGGTAACTCGGGCGCCCAATCAGAGGGGCCCCGGGGTCCCCAAAAATGTGGACGAAGGTTTGTCGCGACTTTCGGCCTCCGGGGGCCCTTCCTGGGCTTCGGGGCCGTCAAAGGTCGACTCGGGATGAAAGTCCCGCCCCAGGGACAGAGTCGAGACCTCCGGGGGCCGACGTTATGAGTCATGAGCAGCAAATCATGACGTCGGGGTCTGGGAAAGGCATTGATACCTGATACTGATACCCTTGCCTACCTTTTTGGGGCCTCCTGGGAAGCCCTCGTCGCCACTGCCACCGTTGGACTCGCGTCGGAATTCTCGTCCGAACGCACCCCAGGAGAGGTCTTGGGAGGAGGGGCGTGGGTAACTAGCACCCCGCAGTTGCGAATAAGAGTTAGGGTGCGGGCGGGTCACTGGCCTGGTTGCGAGTGGGACGACGACGGCAACAGCCACAACCACAACAACACCAACCATAACAAAACAAAGCTAAAAAAATCAACGACCACAACAACATAAACAAACAATAGCAGCAGCACTTACATCAGCAGCGATAGTAATAACAGCAACAAAACAACAACCACAACCATTGCAGCAACCACAGCCACAGCAACAACCACACCAACAACAGCAGCAGCGACAACAACATCAACAACAACATTAACAACACCAACAACAACCACAACCACAATAGCCACAACAGCCACAACCACAACCATTGGCACAACAAAAGCCACATCAACAACAGCAACAGCAACAACATCACCACCAACAACAATCATTTCAAGAATCGTCGCTCTCATCATTCGCTCACGTGCCATTCAACACGTGTGCCCCAAACCCTCAATACCCGCCCTCTTCGTCTTCGATCGTACCCCCCTTTGGGGTATATCCTCCCTACTCGCCGCGTGTAGTTGGCGCAGCCGCTAAAACAGGGGAAGGAAGGGAGGAGGGAAGTGACAAGGGGGAGGTGAGAGATTTGCAGGAGGAGGCTTAGAAACAGGAGTACAAACGTCAGAATCAGTCAGGCTGGTCGGGCGGGCGAACCCTAAGGCCCAAGGGGCAGGTCAGGCGGGTGGGTTCAGACGGCAGGGTCGAGCGAGCGGGTCGCTGAAGCGTCAACCCACTCTGAATCGCAAGGACGTTTCGAGAGATAACGCGATTCCCAAGTAAATCGTTATGGAATCCAGAGCAAGAACGTGATTCCCGAGTCTTGGGGGCACGGCGCAGGAATAACCTGTGAGGAAGTCCCGCGCGAGAGCTCGATTTGTGAATAATATGTTAGAAAGTATCAGGTGGGACCATAATAGATTGTGAGAGTAAGTTGTAAAAATACATGGCTGGAAATTGTGAATACATTGAGAATAATTTGTAAATAACTTGTGTTGAATGCTCATGTACGGGCGCAGCCCGTAATTTGACTCTTCGGGAAGACAGAACTGACTGACATAACTGAACTGAATCACCAATGGCAGTTTCATTTCTGGGGGTGAGGATATTTCGCTTGCAGTTTTAAGTCAGGGCGTTGAGGATACGTGTCTCGCTGGCAGTTTTAGGCCAGGGGGTGAGGATATTTCGCTGAGGGGCGTAAGAAAATGTTTCTGGCAGTTTCAAGTCAGGGGGTTGAGGATATTTCGCTGGCAGTTGTAGGCCAGGGGGTGAGGACATGTTGCTGGCAGTTTTAGGCCAGGGGATGAGGATAGTTCGCTGGCAGTTTGAAGGAGGGGTGTGAGGATATTTCGCTGGCAGGTTTAAGCCAGGGTGGTGAGGATACTTTCCAGACGTAACCAAGCAGCACCATATGCCACGCACCGGCGGTCAGGAGTAATCGGCGGATTCGTTGGTCTGGGGTTCGGGGGGGACAGCTGCGAAGTTACCCACAGTGGGGCCAGGAGGAGAAAAAGGGAGGAGCGGGAGGAGGAGGACGAGGCTGAGACCAAGAAGCGGACAGCGAGGATGCCATCTTGCCGCCGCGCGGGGCCGGGCGGAGGGGAAGGAGGAGGGAGGGAGGGCGGCGCCCGCTGCCGCTGCCTGCTCCTGCTCCCGCCCCCCGTGCCCCTGTTCTCCTTGCTCCCCCCCCCCCTCTTCCCCTTGCTCCCCCCCCCTCTCCTCCCCTCCCCTCCCCGCCGCCCCTCGTCCCGTCCTCCTTGGCCTCGCGCCTCCCTCCCCCCCCCGCGCACCGCCCTGCTCCTCGAGCTCCCTGCTCCTCGAGCTCCCTGCGCCCGCGCCCCGTCCCCGCGGCACCGCCCCCCCCCCCCGGCCGAGAGAGAGAGGCCCGCGGGGCGCCCCCCGCCCGAACCCCCCACAGGCGAGGGCCTTCGCGGAGGAGCTCGAGGAGGGGCGCGCCGCGCGCCGCCCACAGCGGGGGCCTCGGGTCTGGCGCGGTGCATCCCTCGTCCTCGTCCTCGTCGTCCTCGTCGTCCTCCTCCTCCTCCTCCTCCTCATCGTCCTCCTCGTCCTCCTCGTCGTCCTCCTCGTCGTCCTCCTCGTCGTCGTCGTCCTCGTCGTCGTCGTCCTCGTCGTCCTCGTCGTCGTCGTCGTCGCCGCCGCCGCCGCCGCCGCCGCCGAAGCCTGCCGCTGCCCCGCCCAGCGGGCGGGGTGCAGAGGAGCGGCCGGCGGTCCCTGGATCCTGGCCTCGGCCTGCCGCCCTGCCGCCCTCTCCCTCCCTCTCTCTTGGCATCGCTCGGCCGTGTGCATTTCTCCTTCGGCGAGGAGAATCGAGGAGCATCCTTGATCATTTGGCGAAGAAGCCGCGCACGAAGCTGAAAAAGGCACAGGGAATGGACGTCCGAGCGATGGCCAGCTCGGGCGCCCTGGGCGGCCTCGCGCGGGCGCGGCCTCAGAGGCCGGCGATGCGGAAGGCTCGGCGGCGGAGTGGCGGGGTCGTGCGGGGGCGGAGGGGGTGGTTTCTCTCTCTCTCTCTCTCGTTCTCGCTCTCTCTCTCTCTCTCTATCGCTTTTCCTCTTGTATTGTTTCTTCTCTCTTTCTCTCTCTCTCTCTATATATATATATACACACTCTGTTGTGTTGTTCTCTCTCTCTCTCTCTCCCTCGCCCTCTCGCTTTCTCTCTCAGCCCGCACGGGTGCGCACCACGGTGGAGCCCCACACCCTCTCTCCTCAGGCTCTCTCTTTCCCGTCTCCCGCGCCCGTCCTCTTGGTGGCGGCACAGCCCGGAGTGCGGCAGGCCCTGGCCCGTGGAGGGGTCGCGGAGGGAGGGCCCGGGGCTGCCACGAGAGGGGGTCATGATTAGGGGGGTGGACATCATGGCGGGGGCCATGATGTCTCCCATTTCATGGCGCCTCTTCTGATTCCAACGCGTCTCCGGCCTCCCCCTTGGGCCACGCACGTGCCGCTAGCCATGGTTTGCGCCCCCCCCCGCTTGGACGCCTTCCTCTTGGACGCCCCCGAGAGGGGGGGCCTCGACGTCATTTCTGGGAGGAGGGAGAAGGGAGAGAGGAGGAAGAGAAGGGATGGAGTCGGACGGGGCTAGGACGAGGATAAGTCCGTTCCAAAGCGTTTCGGAGCGTTCTCAGAGCGTTCCAGAACGCTCTTAGCAGGCCACGGCACCCGAGATAGCCTCCGGAGCCGCCGGATCTGAGATATTCTCGATTTATCCTCACCTGAATTTATCCTCGTCCTGGCTTCGTCCTTCATCGTGGTCGGCGTTATCCCTCGTCGTGGTCGGCGTTCTCCCTCATCGTAGCCGTCGCCGCCGTCGTCGTACCTTTCGTTCACTCGGATTCGCTCTCACACCCAGGCACTCACAGCCAGACGAAGCGTGACGCACCAGGACCTGAGATGCACATAACTATGGGATCTCCGCGTCGAGTGTTTTTGTTGCCTGCACTGTGCTCAGTACGTACGTCTTTGAACGATGAACAACAGCCACGAACAGTTCACTGCTCCCACGCTACGAGCACAGTCCCAAACAGTTACAACATGTGTCACGGTTCCCACAGGGTGCGGCAGGCCCTGGCCAGTGGAGGGGTCGGGGAGGGATGAAGGGCTTCGACGTTTGTTGTTTCCTTGCGCAGTGTTCTGTACTCACCTCGCTGAAGTATGCAAAGCAGTTACACAGAGTTCACAGCTCACACGCTAGAAGAACACTCGACCGAGACACTTCCCGTCAGCCTTGGCAGCAGCCTCTTTATTTGTTGGAGGTCTTTTGACCTGGCCTTGTGCGCAGAGTGGCGCGGCAGCGTGTAATGTTTGTCCAACGCATCACCTTCCTATTAATGCAGTGGTGCACAATTTGTCAGCACCCATTTACCCAACTGCACTGCCCCTCTGGCGGCACGCACTTGCAGTGCCCATCTGGCCAGAAAAGCAAGTAGAGCATCCGTGCCCCCCTCGGGCGGAACGAACATAATCAAATGTAGAAGCTGAATTTCCCTGATCTCAGAGAAAGTATGCTTATGCAGCTTTTGTTTTATATTTGAGAGAAGGAGAAGGAGGAGGAGGAGGAGGAGGAGGAGGAGGAGGAGGAGAAGGAGGAGGGGGAAACCCAAGACTCATCAACGATGCTGCAACACGTCATCTCTCTTTTCAAGCTCCTCATTCACATGTCCCCACAAGAATTGATGTTCATTGTGGGAAGTGCCCCGTCAGAAGACAACCGTCTGGGAATCCCCAATCGTGCCAAAACATGTAGGTTCCTCGGACTTCAACGCCGCGAATCAACGTGACCACTGCGTCCTGACAACCTTAAATCTTGCCAGAACACCATTCCTGGGGTTCAGCTCCGCAGATCAAATAACTGCTGCGTCTTGACATCCTAAATCTCGCCAGAACAGTGTTTGTGGCTTCAGCCATACGAATCGTTGAAGCTGCTGCAACCGTTTAAGGCGAATGTGCGCGGCGCTAATGCGAGAGCCAAAGTTTGAAAACCACCTGGCCTCCAATCGTGTAACCCGTTGCAAACGGTCAGACTGATGTACGCGGCGCCATGTCGAGAGCCACATTTCGATAATGGCCTGCTCGCCATGCTCAGGCGAGAACCACATCTTGAAAACCACCAACCCTTTCTTTTTGAAACTGCTGCACCTTTTAAACAGACGCCCATGCCCGACGCTGGGGCGAGAACCACATTTTGATAACGGTCCGCCTGCCATGCTTAAAGTTGCTGCACACTTTGGCAACGAATGTGCTCGTCGCTCAGGCGAGAGTCACGCTTCGGGAATAAACGCCCGGCCTCAATCTGTGAAGCGGCTGCAAACTTTCAGGCGAATTTGCGCGGCATTCAGGCGAGGGCCACATTTTGAAAACGGTTCGCCCTTCTTGTTTCAATATGTTGCAAACGTTGAAGACGAATGTGTGCGGCGCTCAGACGAGAGCCACATTTTGAAAACCAATTGGCCTCCATCCGTGAAGCTCTTGCACACTTTGAGACGGAATTGCGCGGCGTTGAGGCGAGAGCCACATTTTGATAACGGCCCGCCCTCCATGCTCAATTGTTTCGCAAACTTTTGGGAGGGCCACGATTTGAAAAGGACCCGACCTCCATCCGTGAAACTGTTGCAAATGCAAAGCATCAAGATCATAAATGATGAGAAAATCTCAGGCGAAACGCCCGGCCCCGCCCAATTACCAACACGTTTTGGGGCGCGACAGGGATGATTTATCCAGTTGCCTACGGCAAGTCTCGCCACCGTCCGTGCCCGGGTTGTGGGTACGAAGCCTATTGGATTTTCGTTGGGATCTCGTGGGAGTCCTCCCTTCGGCCTCTTGGAGGCAGTGTTCACGCGTTTTGGAAGCCGTTTTGCTTCTTTTTGGGCCTGTTGGGGGCCATTGGGGGCCTCTTGGGGCCTCTTGGGGTCTCCTGGGCGGCTCTTGGAGGCTCCTAGGAGCCTCTTGGGGCGGAAAGCTTGGACTTTCGGTCGTTGTTCCCTCTCTTGGGCACCTTTTGGGGCTGTCTCGGGGCCCTCTTGGGGCACTTCTTGGGCCGTCTTGGGACGCTATTTGGCCGTCTTGGGGCCCTCTTGGAGGCCTCTTGGGCCGTTTTGGGGTGGTCTTGGGGGTCTCTTGGGCTGTCTTGGATCGTCGGAGAGCCGAAAAGGCAAGAACACCAAAATCTTTCAAACACCTCAGGCACATCAATAATTTGTTTTGCCTCTTGGGGCCCTCTTGGAAGGCCTCTTGGAGGCCTCTTGTGGCGGCTTGAAGGCCTCTTGGGCCATCTTGAGGCCATCTTGGGCGTCTTCGAGCGATCGTTCGGCGACCCGGGGCCCTCTTGGACCGTCTTGGGGGCCTCCTGGGCCGTCATGGAAGCCTTGCAGAGCCCCAGGGAGGCGCCATGGCCGCCCAGAGACGCCCCCGGACCAGAGGTGGTGCAGTGAGGTGGGTGCTACTTGAGTGGGTGGGGGGGTCCCTTAGAAGACTACAGAGACCCTGCCAGGCAGCCCTTGGTATTCTTCCACGCCTCCTCGTGCCGCAGGCACGGTGGCGGACTTCGTCCTCCTCCATCTCTTCCTCCTCGTCCACGCGCTTGTCTTCCTACTCGTTGTCCTCCTGCTCGCATCGCTGCCCTCCCCGTCATCCACGCTGCCATCCTCGTCATCTGCCGCCTTGTCGTCGCCATCGCCCCCACGAGCCCAATGGACAAAATCGGTGCTTCCCGTTTTTGTCCGATCAGGTTTATGAGTACAAGGTATGGGGGAGGGCAAGCAGCAGGACAGGAGGAGGAAGAGGAGGAGCTGTCGTGAACTGTTGCAGGCGCGAGCCTTCTGTGCCCCGCGGGCGCCCTCCGCAGGCCTCCTCGAGCCCCCCTCCCCCTGCGCGCTGGCCTCGAAGCGGCCTGCCGGAGGAACGCGCGAAGCGCGCGGAGCGCGTGGAGAAGATCATGAAGACGGGAGAGGCGGGGACCCGCCCCCGCTCGCGACAGAGTGAGGATGCCTGCTCCGAGCAAGCGTCGGGGAAGCGTGGGACTCGCGCACGCTGGAGCTCGGGTGTGCCGGTGCTCTTTGACCAGCGCGTCCGGGGCTTCGACGGCCCAGGGTTCCTGGGATGTTTGCAGCGGGAGCTCGCGCCGAATTTCAGACTGCGTCTTGGCCTCGTCGTGATGGCCCCGCCCCGCCAGGCCGGCCCGGCTCCCCCAGGGCCCGAGTCCTGCGTCTCCCTGAAGGTGATGCCCTTTTGATGCCGGCGTCGCAGCGTTCTCTCACACTGGGCGGCGTCGCCCGTGCTCGGACGCCGGGGCCGCCACGGGTCGATCGGTGATGTGTTTCGCGGTGTGCTGCACCTCTTCGCAGCGTCGGGCCTCGGGGTGCAGCCAGCACGAGAGTTCAGAGCAGGCCTGCGTGGGGGCGGCACCTGAGTTTGAGGAGGAGGAGGAGGAGGAGGAGGAGGAGGAGGAGGAGGAGGAGGAGGAGGGGGAGGAGGAGGAGGAGGAATGAGAGGCAGGCCTCGGCGACTGGCCTCCACACCTCGGAGCCCTCCTCGTCTTGGGCAGCTCCCCGGGGGGGGGCCTCGGGCCTTCGGCGCGCGGGCTCCTTGGCCCGTGCGATCCTGCGGCCGCGCTGTCACTGCACTCTCGGGCCGGGCGAAAGGGGGGGATTGGGAAAGGGGGGGTTACGGTAGGTTCGCGTCGTGTCGACCGGCCGCGACCCCGCCGCCGACGTTCAACGTTGAACGCCGACGGCGGCCCAGAATCGGTCGATGTTGAACGATCGGACGTTGCGGCAGCGGCCGATCGTTCAAGGTTGAACGATCCCTGCGGTGTCAAAAACCAACGCTGGGGTCGGCACGACACGAACCTGCCGTACGAAATCTGCTGCACGCAGCCGATCTCGGCCTCACCGAGGGGCCCAATTTCTCGATGCACACGCCGCCTTTCCAGCGCCGGGGGGCGCCGGGAAAAGCGGCTATACGTGAGCTGGTTCTCACCCCCCCCCCCTTTGCTATCCCCCCCCTTTCGCCCGACCCGACGCTCGTGCGAGCACAAAAAAATTGCGGGATCGGTGCGGACACCTCGGGCCCGCGCTGGGCTGCCCCCTGGCGGCGCCTATATGGCGCCGCCCCCGGCGCCGCAGGCGCGCCCAGGAGGAGGGGCAGTGCAGCGCCGACCGGAGGTTCCCGCGCGGACCTCCGAGCGGTTACGATTGTGCAGCTGCTGTCGCTGAGCCAACAGGGCGGGAGTCACGGCGGGCCCCCAGTCGGGCCGGGCGAAAGGGGGGGATTGGGAAAGGGGGGGTTACGCAATTTGCTGCATGCAGCTGGTTCCGGCCTCACCGAGGGGCCCATTCCTCGATACATAGCCGCCTCCGGCGCCGGGAGGCGCTGGGAAAATCAGCTACGTGAGCTGATTCTGAACCCCCCCCTTTGCTATCCCCCCCTTTCGCCCGACCCGAGTCACGGCGGGCCCCCGGGGGGGAAGTTTGCGCGCAGATATTGCAATCAGTGGGTGTTCGGGATATATTGCCTCGACGAGGGTCGGTACCACTTGTCGCAGTGCTTCTTGGGCAAGCACATGGGCCCCTTGGGGGATGAGGCGGTCGTGGAGGCCAGCTAAGGGCATTTGGGGTCCATGAGGCACGACGTGCGTGAGGGGATGTGCCGAATTGAGGCTCCCAGGAGCCGTCTCGGGTGCCAGCTGAGCGCCCTACATTCACGAAGTGCGTGAGTGGTGTGCCGAAATCAGGTTCCCATCAAGATGGAGGGGCAATTCGCTCGTATTTTGACGTCTCCCAGGAGCCCTGGGTCCCAAAGCACTTGTTCTTCTACGTGTCCCAGGGGCCTGAGAGCACAGATCACTCGCATTTTCACGTGCACCAGTAGAGAATAGGGCTGAAAATGCGTGAGGGTGTGTAGAATGGAGCTCTTCGTAGCCCTCGCAGCGTTGATAGATCGCTCGTATTTTCACGTTTCCCAGTTGTGTGGACCAGGAAATGCGTGAGGGGTGTGCCGAAAGGGCAGTGTCGTAGCCATGATTGCGCTGATCACTTACATGTTTACGCGTCCCAGACTGATGCCAGATAGGGAATGCGTGAGGGGTGGGTCAGAACGAGGCTTTCGCAGCCCTGAGGGCGCATCTCGCTCGTGCTTTCACATGTCCCACGTGCTGTCACGCGCGTGGCCTCGGGTTGAGAGCACGCTTCTTCTGCTTTTTTACGTGTCCACGGGAGAGCTGATGAGATCGGCTGGCGTGGGCTGGCGGAATGGGCGAAGCCCCTCTAAGCATGTCTTGCGCAAGTCATCTCACTCTCGTCCATCCTCCTCCATTTCATCACCTGCCCTCCGAGGTTACAGCACGGCACGGGCCCGCAGTGGGCCCGCCGACTTCGATCGTTTCGCTCACTTGGCCGGCCAGGATTGTCTGATCGCTGGCGTGTTGCCGGGGCTCATTGCCAATGCGGCGCTGCTGGGCGGTGGTGGTTTGCCCGAGGCGACGCGTGAGCAGTCTCGTTGGGGCCTCTCTGGGGGCTCTTGGGGTCCTGATGGGGGCCTCTTTGGGCCTCTTGACTGTCTCTTGGGGGTCCTCTGGCAGTCTCAAGGGTCGCCTCGGGGCAGAGGGCTCAAAATGTGTGTTCGTACTCCCCCACCTGGATTCCTCCTGAGGCCCGTTTAGACCGTCTTGGCGGCCTCTTGGGCCTTCTTGGGGCTCTCTTATGCCGTCTTGGGGGCCTCTTCGACCATCTTGGGGCGATCTTGGGGGCCTCTTGGGCCGCCTTGGAGTGTGGGAAGCCCAAATAGGTAAGAACGTTGAAATCGTTCAAAAGCCAAAAGGGAAAACAATCAATGTTGCCTCTCTGGGCCACCTTGGGGGTCCTCTTGGGGCGCTGAAGAAGCGTTTTGGAGGCCCCTTGGATTGTCAAGAAACCATATAGGACGTCTCGGAACGCTCTTGGGACCGTGTCGGACCCTCTTGGGCTCTCCTGAAGGTCCAGTTGAGCGCTCCTGGAGCGCTCTTGGGGCCATTGACGCCCCCGTCCAGGACCAGAACCACCTCAAAACCGAGTCGTCCTGGAGACGCCCGGGAGTGTCCCAGGGTATTTGTCGTCCGGGGACCACCCAGGGGCCGCCACGCGTGCACGAAGCAGTAGTAGTACGCTTCCTACCGGAGATTCTAGCACGCCTTTGTAACGTTGGGTTGGCGAGTTCCAAGAGGCATGGCCCGCTCTTGGTGGGAGCAGGCGCCGCGGTGAAGGGTCCAGCAGCATTGGGGCTCGTGTCTGTGCAGCTGCGTGAAGGCTCCTCTGTGCCCCGGCTGCCTTCTTCACTGGCGTCGCTCGTTCCCGCCCCGGTTTCGGCGCGTTTGCCGCCTCACCTCCTTCTCGTCCCTGGTTTCCCGCGCCCGTCCCTGCCTACCTCCTTTTCTGCATCCGCCCTCTCTCTCCGCGACGGTGCTCACACTTCACGACGAGGGCCCCAGGCGTCGGTTGGCCATCGGCAATCAGAGGAGGCCCAGTTGAGACAAGGCGGTCTTCCCTCCCCTGCCATTCCCCTTCCCTGCCCGTCTTCGTCTGGGAGGTGTGCCGAAGCCTCGATTGGCTCTCCGAGGCAAGCTGCCCGCTCAAGATGGCATTGCGGCTCTCTGGGAGGAGTCCTGGGAAGACCTCTGCTGTGTCGGAGGGAGCGTTGGCCAGCTTACGCCAGGAACTCTCGGCCGCGTGGTATCGTGTCCGGGGGGAGGAGGAGGAGGAGGAGGAGGAGGAGGAGGAGGAGGAGGAGGAAGAGGAAGGAGGAGGAGGAAGAGGAAGGAGGAGGAGGAAGAGCATGTCGACAGACCAGCCAGCGTGCAGACCCTCCCGACTCCTCGCGACCCGGAGGCGGAGCGGGCGCGTCTGGAGAGCCTGGTCACGGCCAGCGCGGAGGAGAAGGAGGCGGTGCAGAAGCAGCAGGCGGAATTTCTGCCGCGATCCGGGACTCCCAGACGAGGTCGGAGTACAGCCAAGTCGCTGAAATAAGGGACAGTTTGGGGAAGAAAGGGGCTCGATATTCCTGAGGTCCTTCTATGTTTTTTCCTCTAGCCGTCCTCGTGCACGCAGGCTCTTGTGGGGCCAAAAAGGGGCTTCGTTCCTTGTTTATCTTCCTTCTTTCAGCGGCCCGACTGTAGATGGGGTCGGAGGTTCGCGCCGCGTCGCGGATGCATCGCCGATGCGGCTCGATGTGGAGCCGAATGCTCTCCACGCCGACGGCGCCGACGCGTCGCCGACGCCGGCGATGCATCGGCGATGCATTGCCGATGTGGCGCGATCCTCCGACCCAGTTGATTCTGACCCCATTTGGGAGGCCTCTCGGTGCGGGATCTGCTCATCTGCTCCGCTGGCGTCGCGGCGGAGGACCAATATGGCCTCTGGAAAGAGGACACTGCTACCGCTGTTGACTCTGGGCGCTTCTCCCCAGTGTTTTGCTCCGCGTCTCCCTGCTTCGGCGGCTGCTCCTCATCCTCCTGCTCCTCCCTCTCCCGCCTCCTCTGTTCCAGGGAGGCGTGGAACGCCACGCGTGCACAGACCGTTCCCCTGCGGTGCCGAGGGTCCCGAGCCTCCTAAGGCGAGGCCTCGCGCGAGAGGAGTCCGGGTCGGTGCTGGGCAGATCGCCGGGCACGCTTGGTGTGCTCCTGGCCTTCAGTTTCTGCTGCCTCTTCGTCGTGACGCACGCCCCCTCCGCCTTTAGGGGCCTCTTGAGTCGTCTGGGGGCTCTCTTGGGGCGTATATCGCCGGGCACCATTGATGTGCTTCTGGCCTTCAGTTTCTGTTGCCTCTTCGTCATGGCGCATGCCCCCTCCGCCTTAGGGGCCTCTCGAGTCGTCTGGGGGCTCTCTTGGGGCGTATAGAAATGTAGTCGGGGCGCAGGAATGGGGGGGCGGGGGGGAGGAGTCGGGCGCGGAGCAGTGATATCAGGAGGGCGAGGAAGAAACTATACCGATACTGTTCCGCGTCCCTCGGAGAGCCCTCGTCGCGCGGCTGGGCTTCGGTTTGAAATTCTGACCCGATAGCACCCCAGGAGAGGTCCACGGAGCAAACACGGTTTCGTTATTTGTTGGTACCCTCGGAGTAAAGGAATCTTAATGACTATGGGGGGAACGGAGCACGAGCCAGATGAGTAGGGCGAACGAAAGAGGAGTAACGCGAGCGGTCGCGTCAAGAGGAGGTAGGGGGGAACAGGATGAGCGGGATGCCGAGAGTATCAGGGAGACTCGGGGGGGGGCGTCCATAATCTCGATCCCACGGCCTCCCGCCTGCTATTTTCCATCAGATGCCTCCTGTTTCCTCCACCCCTTTCTCTCTCTCGCTCTCTCTCTCTCTATTCATCTCTCTCTCTATCTCTCCCTCTATCTCTCTCTCCTGTCTTATTGTGTTGTTTGTTTTCGTTGTCTCTCTCTCCCTCTCTCTCTCTCTCTCTCTCTCTCTCTCTCTCTCTCTCTCTCCCCCCCCATTTGTTCGCCGCCAAGTCTATCCCCATCCTCGTCCTCCGTCCTTCCCTCACTTCCTCCCCTCCTCATGACCGCCCTTTTCGACAGACGACAGAAAAGTATTCCCTCCTTCCCCTCCTCCTTTTTCGCCTCCGCTTCCCCTTTTCGCCCCCAGGAGTACGAGGATAACGAATGAAGAGAAAGTGCGGTGGAGGCGGACAAGGATCAGAGCAGAAGGAGGAGGATGAGGAGGAGAAGGAGGCGGATAAGGAGGAGGAGGAGGAAGAGGAGGAGGAGGAGGAGGAGGAGGAGGATGATGATGATAATGATGATGGTGATGAGGAGGAGGAGGAGGAAAAACAACAAGAGGACGAGGACGAGAACAGATGGAGGAGGAAGAGGAGGTAGAGACCTGTAGGAGAAGGGGGAGGAGGAGGAGGAGGAGGAGGAGGAGGAGGAGGAGGAGGAGGAGGAGGAAGAAGAGTAATAATAAGGGAGGAGGAAGAGAGGAGAACGAGAGGAGGAGAGAGGATAACGAGAGGAGGAATATAGGAGGAAGAGAGGAGGAGGAGGAGGAGGAGGAGGAGGAGGAGGAGGAGGAGGATAACTATGTGTGTTCCCTCTGTGGACGCCGAGCATGCCAGCTGCAGAGAGTACACTATGCACGAGCCTCACTCCCTCGAGTGAGGAAACCAACATCTGCGAGAGCCCAGCTCTCCAGGACCACCTCTGCGCGTCCTGTGCGCGGGTGCTTGCCTCGCTCGAAGCGGCTTCGCCGCTCCTTGGCCGTCCTGGCAATCACGAAACCTGGCTGGCGGGCTGGGCAGGGTTCTCCCAGCCCGCTCGGCAGAAGCTGCGCATACTGCGCACACTGCACACAGACAGTACAGCAGGAAGTCGCCTTGCTCAGCAGGCGTGCCAGTGGGCCCGATGATCGCGCCCCACAGAGCATGCGAGGCTGCGTGCTGCCGCAGCCGTCGCCAGCTCGGGGGCGCCTCGCGCCCGCACTCGGAGGCCATCCCAGCCTTCCAGCTCCGAAAATACTGAACGCACCGCCAGCGGCCGTCGGCCACCTCGTGCAGGAGGAGGAGGAAGAGGACGAGGACGAGGACGAGGACGAGGACGAGGAGGAGGAGGAGGAGGAGGAGGAGGAGGGCGGGGAGGAGGACGAGGACGAGGACGAGGACGAGGAGGAGGAGGAGGAGGAGGAGGAAGAGGAGGAGGAGAGGAGGAGGAGGCAAGGAAGGAGGGAGGATGGGAGGGGAGGGAGGGAGGGAAGAGGAGCAGGACTCCCCCTCCTCCCTCTCCCCCCTCCCGCCCCTTCCCTCCCCCCCTCCCCCTCCCCTCCCCGACGGGTGCCCGCGCGGTGCTGCGGCCTCGGGGCCCGCGCGCCCTCGCGTCCTCCCCTACCGGGGCGAGGCCGCCCTCGACGCCAAGATCGCGGAGGCGCCGCGGCCCCCCGCGGCGCGAGAGTGAAGGGCCGCCACGATCCAGGCCTCCTTCTCCTCCTCCTCCTCCTCCTCCTCCTCCTCCTCCTCCCCTCCTCCCTCCCCCTCCTCCTCCTCCTCCTCCTCCTCCTCTTCCTCCTCCTGAGCAAATGGGGTCGGAGGATCGCGCCGCACCGCCGATACATCGACGAGGCAACTCGCTGAGGGGCCCGATGCTCGCCATGCGGACGTCCCCGGTGCCTCGGCGATGCGGCCCGATCCTCCGACCCCATCCGCTCGGACCACATTTGGGGGGCATGTAGACGAGGGCGCGAAGGTATTTCTCAATCTCATCTTCCTCATCTTCGTCTCGCTCGAACGGTGCCTTTCCTGCTCACTTCACCCTTTTTTCTGCCTGGGCCTGACGCTATCTAGCTCGAGCGTGCAGCGCCCCGTGCCCGTTTTATTCGCGCCATATTCGCGCCTTCGATATACCGCACCTTCCGCCTACAGGGAAAACATGTTTTTTGTCCCACGTAACCTCTTACATCCTACTTCCCAGTTGGTAGCGGCGCTTCGGCTCCACTGCTGCGGCCGCCATGCCTCGACTCGCCTCGATGGCCATGGTACCACTTGTCCGTCGCCATCGCGGTCGCCGTCGGGCGTCCAGCAGCTCATCCCGTTGGCCATGCCGCGCATTAGCCACATTCATCGCCTTCGTGCACTCTTTCAAGTTCACCTGCGGGGCGTCCGCCCCTCCGCCCCCAGGACCATGGACCGGGGCCGTGCACAACCAGTACCGCTACAAGCCCGTGAGCGAGCCTTTTCGAGGACCCTCGCCACGCGCTGGTTCTCTCGGCGACCCCACTGACTGTGTCAGCGCAGCTCGCAGACCCTGCGCCTGCGCTGCACGTGTCTGTGAGAGCACCCGCGAATGTCGGGCAGCTGCTCGACACAACGTTGCCATTACGGTATCGGCGAGGGGTCCCGAGCTTTTGGCGAATGTGTCGCGAGAGCTCTGGGAGGCGCAGGCAGGGCAGGGCGGGGGGGCAATGGAGGGTCTGGCGACTGTCGCCAGCACGCCCAGGGACAGCGAAGCAGATGTCGGATCACTTGTCTTCGATCTCTTGGAGCATGACCTTTGGCGTTCACCGTGCATCCCCTGCAGCGTGGCAGTCTTGGGTCTCGATTGTCACTCCTCTTGACGATCGCCTGGCTGGCGGTGCTCAGTACAGCGACAACACGACGCACGAGGAACATCCCCGCGGCTGTGTCACGGGATGCCCCGAGCACCGACAGCGCCACCACTGCGCGACGGAACCACGCGCACACTGCGCAGACAAGGAGGAACGCATTTGGGACAAGTATCCGCTGCGTTTCTGAGGCGCCCTGCCCGGGTAGCGCCGCCAGTGGATTCCCGGCGCCGAGCATTTCGCGACGCTTGAAGGGAATTGTGTTCCGGACGGAAGGCCATCGGAGTGGCCTTGCTTGCCATTGCCAGCTGCGCCTGCATGGCACGGGCGCAGGCGGCGGCAGCGGCAACGCGCGCCACCTCCGCACTTGGGGGCCCGAGCAGCAGACGTCCATGCCATTGCAGAGATGGGTGCTCGAGGCTATGATCCAGACTGTGGCGGACTCAGACCTCAACGAATTTCGCCAGACGGCTGACGGCCCGCCGCGCCTCGCCAGCACGGCGCGGGAGTACGCGGACGAATGGTCGCCGGCTGTCTTGGTCCAGGGGGGTTCGTCAACGGCAACCCAGCGCCACCGGCGACCTTCTCTGTGCGAAGCTTGGCCGAGCGACGGGGCCCACTTGGGCGAGGAGGGGCGCGCGCGGGCAGCGTCGGCGCTGCAACTTCAACCGGCCGCCGCAAGAGCGCGTCGACAACCGCCTCGCTAGCTGCGGCGCCCCCCGCATTTGGGCGCAGCAAGAGGGTCAATTACCACCGGAGACGAGGGGTTTCGGCTCCCTCTTGCTGCGCGCCGCTGGCGCGCCGAACATCCAGCGAACCATCATCTTGCAACGCTGCGACGCTCGGCGAAGGCACTGCCGCAGACGATCCCGAGCTACGCGACGTTCCCGTGGAAAAATGCGGCGGGCCCGCGCGCCGCGCCCGGGGGGTGATTGGACGGACAGGCAGGGCCAAGGCAGAGGCTACGGCGCCGTCTTCTTGGCGGACCGGTCCGAAAACGACATCCCGGAAGCTTTCGCGGGCTTCGGAAGTTCAGGGCCAGCGGCGCGGCGTCGGGCCGACGCGGCGCGCCCGCGGGCTCTGGGGCGCGTCTCGAATTCTATGAGTCCGACTCCTAGGAGCGCCTCGCGCGCGACTACCCCCGGCGCCGCAGCCAAGGGCGCGCTCTCTTCCATCGCGCTTGCGCCCCGGCGCCGACGTCGCCGCCGCAATCCTCGGCACTCTTGCGAACAGGGGCCGCCGAGCGCATCAGAGCAGCGACCCCCTATGCCAGGGGCGCGCGCCGCGTGGGCGGCCAGGGGCGCCCTCGGGGCCCCCGGCGCCGGCGGCGGCGATCCCGCGCAGAGCGCTGCCCCCTGGAGCGGTGGGCGGCCGACTTCTACAGCGCTGGCGCCGCGGCCCGCAGCGCCGACAGCCGCGCCGCGTGCCTTGTCGACTCCTGGCAACAAGTGGGCCACGTCCATCAGTCGCGCCGGGCGCGCGCATCGCCCGCGCCCTCGCCATCGCCCATGGACGCCGAAGTACGATGACTGCGACGGGAGATGGCCGAGCACATGGTCCGCATGCAAGACTCTGGGGGCCCGCGCGCGCGACGGCAGCGGGGCGGCGGCGCCCGCCGCGCCCGCAGCGCCAATAGCTCCAGCAGTTTCATCTGCACCACCACAACCGACGCTGCCACGGCGGGCGCGAGCGGGCGACGCGTTCCCGCCGGGGCAAGCTCAGGGGCGCGACAGGCCGCCAGCCCCGTCGGCCGACGAGCAGTTGCCAAGTTGGGCATGCATAGCTTCAGTCTCAGAGCTCTGCGTCACGACACGTGGCCGCCGCATTCCGCGCCGGTCGTCGCGTCGCCGCCAGTGCTGGGGTCCCCCAGGGAGTTAACCTCACTGGGGGACTGGCCATGTGGTTCGCGGGCCGCGAGACCCCGATGGCCAGCGGCGGTTGCTCCGAGCGCAAAGCGGGCGCCGCCCTCGACCGCGCGCAACGAACTCCACAGCGCACAGCTGGCGCTGGAGCTCATGCGGCAGCAGGACGAGCGGCGACGGCGGGCCGCAGAGATTTGGACAGGAACCCTTGTTATTCTTCCTTCCGTGCCGGCCGCTGTGCCCGCCCCGAGGCCTTTCAGCGTGGCGAGAGGGTTGCGCACCTACGTTGTCGCCGCATCTTCTGCCGCGCATGCCATCTGCAACCGATGCAGAATGCCGCGCTGTCCGGCGCGCCGCGGCCTGGCCGACGTCATCGCCGACTTTGGCGTCGTTGGCGGCCCAGCGCCTGCGGCGCCGGTCCGCGCGGCTGCATGCTCGGGGACATGCAGGGGGAGACCCTGCCGCGGCAGGACCTTGTGCCTTCATGCAATAGCCGCGAAGCGCGCCCAGCTTCGAGCGCGCCGCGGGCACGGCGGTGCTCTGCGACGCTCGCCTGGGCCCGCGCGTGCCGCCGACGCTCCCGCGGCCGCTTTCGTCGGGTACTGAAACGAGTTGATCCAACGACTCGCCGCGCTCTCTGGCGTGCGCCGATCTACTGGATGGCTGATCAGGCGTCGTAGTCGACGCCAGCACATGGGCCAAATTCTGGGAAATGCGTCTCGCCGTAAATGCGGCTTGCAGGGCCCAGCAGGCGAGGGCGCCGCCCGCCGCGGAGAATTTGCCGCCCCCGTCGTGCGCGGCGGGAGTGGACAGCGGTTCGCGGGTCGCACACTGCGAGGTGCATTGCCCCATCGCGACGATTTCGGCGACTGCGCGACTAATCGGCGCCGCGCGCGCGCTCCTTCCGCGGGGGGCGCAGGGGCTGATCTCCCGGCCCCGTTAGGTTTGCGATCAGTCCAGCCGCGGGGTGGCGGAGACAGGCGTTGGCCACGTGCGCTTCGTTCTCCCTGAGCCTGGCGGCTACGAGATCACTCGGGGCCCCGGCGCCGCCCGCTTCGACTTGGAATCGGCGCCGAGCGGGCACCTGTGCATCCCCGTCGACGGCCCCAGCAAGCTTCGGCCGCGCCCCAGGGGCCTGCCGTCGCCCAAGCAGCTCGCGCCGCGCGCGGTTGGCAACGACGCAAGCGCTCCACCGACGGCCGCGAGTTCAAGAAGCTGAAGATGCAGCTCTCGAGCCCCGGCGCGCCCGGGGCCGCGGGTTGCGACCTTCGCGCTTGCGCGGACATCGGCATCGCGACCCGCGGTCGCGAACCGGGGCCGACAGGCATGGCGGTGTTTGGCGCCGCCGCGGACGCGCCTTCAGGTTGCCCCTCGTTCTGGAGTCGCCTTCGTAGTGATCGACGTCGCTGGCGGCGTGGTAGACTCCACTTTCCGCGGCGAGATCAAGGTCGGCATGTCGAAATTTGGCCCGCGGGCGCAGGCGGTCGAGCAGTGCTGCCGCATCGCCCAAATCATCCTGGAACGCGCACCTTCCTTCGTCGTTTCGTGGGCCCGGAGGCTTTGGACACCTCGGACAGGAATCCTTTCCCGAGACAGGTAGGCAGCATGACGTCCGATGGGGTCTCTCGGCGCCGAAGGCTCCAGGGCTACCTCGCTAGGGGATCGCCGGGCAGGCGCGACAGGTGGGCCCCGCCGACCTGCCCCGGCAGAAGTGGGCAGCAGGCCCAGGACGCCCCGCCTGTGCCCTCGAACGAGGACGGGACACATCACTAGCACTACGGGATCACGGCTTCGGCGTTCTCTCCGCCGCCGTTTTCGAGGGCGCCAGTTAGTCGTTACGTGCGAGACCATTGCAGACGAGGTTCACCTCGCCCTCGAGGCCCTGCCCATCTGGCGCGCCAGGGACGAGAACACTGGAACTAGGAAAGTGGTCAGTGGCCAGCATGGCCAGCTGTGGAAGCGACCAGCACTGCGACGAGTGATCGACACCTACGCGCTCTTCTTCAGCGCGCTTCGGGCTTTCCACGAGCCTCTGGCCCAAGCGCAACATCGCTGTCGTCATTGCGCTCACGGGGGCGCCCATCTGCAACTAGCTGCGCCTGTCAAACGTCGAGCTGGATGAGCGCGTCGACGACTGGACGACCGCCCGTCGACACGTGTGCATGGTCTTGATGTGCCGCCAAGTGCCTCGTCTTGCTTCTTGCTGCAGTTGCATCACATTTGACAAAAGCGAATCGGGAACAGTGGGTTTTTGACGCGGCACGATGGCAGCAGGGAGGATGAGACAGGGAAGGGACAATGGGAAGCTGCGAGAGGGAGTGAGGGATGGGCGACAGAGGGAAAGGGAAGGGATGGGGAGGGCTAGGAGATAGAGGAGGTGCGGCGGGAAGGGAGGGGGCGGGGGACAGAGGGGAAGGGGAAGGTGGGGGAGAGGGAAGATGGAACGGAGGCCGGGGCAGGAAGAATGGGGGAGGGGGGCTCGGGTGAGCAATAATGGGGGTCTGCAAGTGGGGGGTGAAGAAAGGACGCAGCATGTTTGGTACATGTTTATGGGTCCCTTCAGGGACCCTTTCTTGCTTTGCACCTTTGAGAACAGGTTCGGCGCGGGAACTGCGCCATCGGTTCACTGTGCTGTGGAAATTTCTGGGCTAAGAGGGCAAGCGACTTTCGACCCCGAGGGGTTGCGCGGGCACGCCTTAGCGGCGTGCGCGCGGCCGCCATGCCCCGCCAACAATGGATGCATTTGTTTGGTGCCCGCCAAGTTGTGCAATGCAGCATCGGGCCCCTTTAGGGACACTTTCGATGTATTTGTTCACACACACACAGGGGCAGTTTGAGTGCACTGTTTGGGACACTCTCATGCATTGCAGCGTTTGGCCGCCCGCCGGGTTTGCGCATCAGAATGCCTGAGCGGGGGGATGCCGCGCGCGGTGTTCGTGGCGCAACTCCTGTGGCCACGCTCCGACTTGCGGCTCAAGCATGGAGGAGCCGCCGTCTGCGATAAAACGTTCAAATCGAGCAGCGCACTATATGAGATAATGTGTTTCACCTCAAACCTCAAGTTTCCTCGTTTGGGAAACGTGCGTTCCCCCCCCCCATTTACTTCACACCCCATCAACATTGATGCAGGAATCGGTTCTCGAGTGTCAGATCTGAGCATCACAGAAGGGGGAAAGGGGGGGAGAATGCCGAAGGGGGGTAAGTCTTGTAAGCCTTCTAGGACCGTATCCCAGGTCCGTCTGAGTCCTCGGGAATGCGCTTGGACGGCAAGAGAAGGACGAGGGAAGGAGGAGGCAGGAACGTGGCAGAGGAGGTAGGAGGAGGAAGGTGCCAGATAAACGCTGCATCCAGCAACCGTCCAGGGGTGATCATTTTGGCCCTCGTCCCCCCCGCTCCCGTCCCTCTCCTCCTTCCCCTCCTTCCTATTCCCACTGATTTTAGTATTCCTCCCACTCCGTGTCCCACGACTCGTGGTCTTCCTCTTTCAGCGCTAAAGCTGGGGCCCACCCTGACTGAACTGAGAGAATGACGATCTGGGCAGCGCTCCTTGTTCCTGCCAGCCTTGGTTTCCCCGACCACTTTTTGACGCATGTGTGTACCTGCGCTTGCCCCTCGCGACCTGCTCACAAGGGGCCCAAGAAACAATCAGCTCAACTCAAACTGGTTGAATTGTCTGGACTTGTCTGGTGCAGCATGCTGGACGATCTAAGCTCACGCACGCTCACCACAACCCGCACCGGCTAGCGGTCCTGAGCTCATGCTGTCATTTGGATTTGACGCCGCCAGCCTTGTGGTGATGTCGCCCGCAGTGGCTCCGCGGTCAAACGGACGTCGCGCCAGGCTGCCAAGCGAAGAGAAAGTCAGGAGGCTCCGAAAGACACGCACCAGCAACGTTTTGATGCGACGGAGGAGCCTCCGAGAAAAACCGGTGGGGAGGGTTGGGGAGTCACGGAGCGCCTCGGGACCGAGGTCGAGGTCAGGCTCTGGGAAACTCAGGAGCGCTATCTGCTGCAGCCGCCTTGTCATGCTGGAGCCTTTGCTGACTCGTTGATGTCGAGGATCCCTCACAGAGGGTTTGCCCACTGAGGGCGGAAAGTAATTAAGACCACCCTCCAGGCGATCCCGACATGTCCGCTAGAAAGCCAACTGACCCATAAGCTCACAAGCTGGTAGAGATGCGCTCAAACAAACCGGTGACACGTGAATTCGCAGCGAGGGCGGCTGGCTGAGCAGGGGTCAGCAAGCACTGGAGTTCAGAAACAGCGTCATGTTCCGGCGCCATCTTGGGCTGCACCTCATGGCTCGGCGAGGAAGTCTGGCCAGCTGTCCTCGCCCTCGATAAAGACCCGGTCTGAGCTGCCCATGATCTCCACATCGAGCAGGTCCACGCATCGCCAAGTTGCCTCGATCACCCCGATGGAGCCGTCGATGACTGCTGCCACGGACTTGGCAGCGCTGGCACTGACATTAGCGCCTGCCATCACGATCTTGCCTGCGGCCGAGCCAGCCTCCTCGGCAACATCGGTCATCACAACGAGGCCTCCGGCTGTGTTGTGGAAGAGTGTCGGCGGCAGGAGGCTCACCAGCATTCCGCCGATGGTCGCCTTGACCAGCAGCCCTCCGGACGGCAGAGACTTCGGCCACTTCAGGTTCAGGCCGATCTTTCCCTCAGGCGATTTGGCAGCCTTGCCCGCTCCGAGGAGCTTGGGCCTTGGCGGCCGCGGCGGGGCCATAGGCCCCTGCGGCGGCTCGTGCCACCTGCGGCACTGGCGGTACCATACGGGGGCGGCCCATCCCCAGCCCCCTCCATAGCCAGCGAGGAGGAGGAGGAGGAGGAGGAGGAGGAGGAGGAGGAGGAGGAGGAGGAGGAGGAGGAGGAGGAGGAGGAGGAGGAGGAGGAGGAGGAGGAGGAGGAGGAGGAGGAGGAGGGGAGGAGGAGGAGGAGGAGGAGGAGGAGGAGGAGGAGGAGGGAGGGAGGAGGGAGGAGGAGGAGGAGGAGGAGGAGGAGGAGGGGAGGAGGGCAGGAGCAGGAGCAGGAGCAGGAGGGAGGAGGAGGAGGGGAGGAGGAGGAGGAGGAGGAGGAGGAGGAGGAGGGAGGAGGAGGAGGAGGAGGAGGAGGAGGAGGAGGGGGGCGGCGCACTGGGCACCTGCATCGGGGAGGCGGGCGGCCGTGCTGGCGAGGCGCCGCGGCTCGGCACGAAGTCCAACCCCGCCTCGAGCTCCCCGCGCGGTTGCACCTCGGCCGCTGCCCTTGCCGCGGCGGCCGGGCTGGAAGCATGCAGCGCGTAGGGCTGTCCCGACCTGATGTGCGTGAGCCACATCAACATGTAGATCCGCAGCGAGCCGTCGACCCTCCACCTCCCCGTCTCCCCGATCGTCTCGAGAGGGGACTCCTGGGGCTGCCGATTCCGAGGCGACGCCTGCACGGGGACTGTGGAACGGGACCTGCACGTCCTTGATGAGGCGGCGGCAGTGAGACAGGGTCCCAGGCAACAGATGAGCGCCTGGAGAAGTAGCACGACGGAGTATCCTGAGTCCTTCTGCGAGGCCTCTATCTTCCTCCTCCTCCTCCTCCTCCTCCTCCTCCTCCTCCTCCTCCTCCTCCTCCTCCTGGAATGACACGGACTCGGACTGCGGGCGTTTCAGTCTTCGTCATGTCTTTGCTCCCCAGACCGACCAGGACAGGTCCTGAGCCCTTCGGATCGCTCGCCCCAGTCCTCCGGGAGGGTAGCACCGCCCGCCTCCACGCCGAGCACCTCGTTGGGCTTCATCCCAACACGTCCCTGGAGCACGATATCGAGACCCACACGTTACTCGTCTCGGGCACAAGCACGGATGCACATCCGGGCACACACCTTACTAAGCATTGGGACCTTTTTTCGTGGTTGCTGCGCATAGCCCTAGCCCTGGATGGCCGCCTTCACACGGCACAAGCTCCCCTTCATACGCGGGAGTTGGTATTCGATCGCAGCGACAATGAGGGTGATTTTGTTTTTTGTCAGGACCCCTTTGCCTTGTGAGACCGAGCCACCGAATCACTTTCAGTCAATCATAGCGTCTTCCCACTCATCAAGGGTGAAAAGGTCCCACTCCCTTTCTAGCACACCACAAGACAAACTCGGCGACCGCTCCCTCGTAGTTAGCCACGGTGGTGATCATGCGGATCAGTCAGCTCTGGATGATCCGAAGTTCCTCTACCTGCTCGATCGGGCGCTCCAGCTGTCCCTCTAGCACCTCCTGCCATGCCATGCCCCTCAACGCCCAGTCGGCTGGCATGCGCCACGTTCCGACCCGGGGCTGCAACGGACGGATCTCCGCAGCCGCACAGAGAGCGCAAATTGCCGGTGGAGGAGGTAGTTGAGGGGCCTTGCAGACGACCCCCCCTTTGCAATGGCACACGAACACGGCAGACCATCTTCCATGGACATGATCTTCGATCTGAAGATGCTTTCTGCCTGGACAACCCTCTCCAGTAGCAAGGCAACCGCCCTCGTCTCCCCAATGGTGATGTGCTTCTCCCACCTCCACCTCCCTGCAGCAATCGGAACCCAGGACCTGGTCACACCCGAGATCTCCTTCGGGATCGAGCTGACCAGCAGGGTGGGCACCAGGGACCTGGACGCCCTGTCAATGACCTTCTTCTTGTGGCCCGGACGAGCCAGTGCGAAACCTGGCCTGATCCCCGGCTCCTGGAGCATCATGGCTTCCTGGTCGGTCATGGCGGTGGCGGCGATACAGGAAGCCCCCACAGTCGAGGCCATTCGACCCCTCGGCGTCAGCGGCGTACACCTTAGGCGATGCTTAAGAAAACCTAAGTTTTCGTCCAGAGTCTCGATTATTCTTAACGTTTCAATGTAAATCTTAAGATTTAATAGAAATGTTGGGTTTTTTTATTCAAGTTCTGAGACTATGATTTTCTTAACCCATGATTTCTTAAGCATTTCGCAGGGTGTAGGCCACGTGCGGCATGGGCGCCCCGATTTCCACATAGAGCCCCATTCGCGCACACCACATCACCTTCCACTCCCGACGGGCACTGGGCCGCCACCCTCGGCAGCCCCGAGGAACTCCTATCTAGCCTATCTCCTTGCCGGGCGAAGCGAAATATGTGTTGAGGGGCCGCGAGCCAGTCTCGGGCCAGGAGTGCATCCCAGACCCAGACGCCCAGGAGCGACGACGCGGCCTCCAGGGGGACCCAGGAGCGCTGTTCCCAGGAAGAGCACGGCCTCGTGCAGGACGGCGGCCTTCCTGGCAGGGAGAGCCTGAGCTTGGCGGGGCGCATCTGAACCCCGTAGCCCACGACCTTGTCCATGTCCCAGGACTCCCGGCGGTCGGTAACCTTGAAGCCAATCCTGTCCAGTTCGTCGGCGGTTCGGTGCACGAAGACGTCGGCCGCGCATTATGTGTCTGCACAGCCCCCTCCATTGGGCAGCAAGTGGCCGCCCTCATGTTGCAATCTGTGTATATAGATGTATCACAACATGTCATGTGCCCAGGAATGTGTTTTTCATCTTGACGCGTTGAGCACGTGGAGCACCCTCCCCTGCTGCTGACTACTGGGCTCAAACCCTTGAGCACCGCGCGTTGGATCACCCATCTCCCGCCGCCTGCGCAAGAAACTACGCACCGTGCAAGACGACAAGAGCCGACTGCGATTGCACGGGTATGCGGCCAGCCGAGTCGCAGCAAAGTCAGGCCTCCTCCCCTCCACTGGTATCCGACCGATGCGCCTTTGATGCTGGTGTTTTCCGTCACGTCGGCACGCACCCTCTCACAATATTTCGGCGGTACCTAACGACGTGGTGACCTTCCTGACCAGCCCGCCATACATGCGTTGTTCAAGGCTAATGCGCACTGCCCCCGTGTGCTCTTCGATGTCGCACATCGCTGCAGAGCTGTAAGTTGAAGGATATGGAGTTGTTTTCTGAGGTCATTTGGTTACTCATGTAGCTGCACTCCTCCTCGGGATGAGACTCCCTCGCCCAGGCCCAGGAAGTTGAGGGGCAGCAAGTTGGACTTCCGAAGCCGATCCCCTCTCGGGCCCCCTGAGCTCCTGCTCCAGACGGGCCCCAGACGTGCTTGCCCCGGAACCTGAGCGGCTTCGGGCCCCTTCGTAGTTTGACGAGACGGGCCCTGGACCAGGCGGAGCACGGAAGGACCCCGAGATTATCAAGGCCCAGTCAAGCGACCACCCCTCCCCTTTAAGTTTCGTTCAGTGCGTCGCCCGAGCGTCGCCCGTGCGCCGGCCCTGGTTTGCGTCTCTGTCCCGAATCCCGGTGGCAGGCTACATCGACGCCATCTCGGGCCGAGATGGCGTCGATGTAGCTTGCCACCACAGCTTCTGGAATGCCTCGGGGCTCGCGAGGGCTCACGGGGGACCTCGCGCACGGGTGCGCGACCTACGCAGGTCATGCTGATATTAATTAGGATGTGTACAGTCGGGGCCCTGAAGAAGGAACCCTTTTCGTTGGGGAGGGGCTCCGTGTTCCTTGATTGTTTCGCAGCTTGCCTCAGGTTTTCCTTATGTCTTCGATAGGAAATCGAAGTTTAACTTATGGACAATAGGGGCCTCTTTCCTCATTTAGGGTTCCTTAGGTCAACGCCCCGACTGTAGCTTGCCACCACAGCTTCTGGAATGTCTCGGGGGATTCGTGAGGTCTCACGGGGGACCTTGCGCACGGGCGCGCGACCTGCGCAGGCCATGCTGATATTCATTAGGATGTGTACAGTCGGGGCCCTGAAGAAGGAACCCTTTTCGTTGGGGAGGGGCTCCGTGTTCCTTGATTGTTTCGCAGCTTGCCTTAGGTTGTCCTCAGGTGTTCGACATGAAATCGAAGTTTAACTTATGGAAAATAGGGGCCTCAATCCTTATTTAGGGTTCCTTAGGTCAACGCCCCGACTGTACGCTGTGACACCCGCCCATGGCCGGGCGTCGCCACAGAGGGCACATCCAGTCGGCAGTTCTGGACCCATCCCGAACTTCCCAAGGCAGGACGTCCTCTTATCAGGCCGGCACGGACAGGCGGGAGCGCCGGTTACACCAATAATCCACGGAGACGAAAGCGGTTGCTCTCGTCGAAAGCGGCAGAACTCACAAATTGTTCTGGCAAAGGCCCGACCATGTGCAGTTGTGAGTACCGTCGTTTTCGGGTATCGTTTTCGGGGGATCTCTTCATGGAGCCATGAAGCATGCGAAGGGAGTGCCGATGTGGGACGGGGCCACCATGTGGGCGCTGCCACTGGGGCTTTACGCGGCACCCACTATGAGGCCGCGCAACGTGTGAGGGGGGCGCCGCAATGGGGGGGTCCGCCACTGGGGGCTTCGGCGGAGCTCTCTCTGGGTCACGAAGCGTTGTATTGGGTGGGGGAAACGCATGCGGTCACTGCAACTGGGGCCTTTTGTAGAGCTCCCCATGGGGCCGCGAAACGCTGTACTGGGCGGTGGAGACGAATGCGAGTGCAACCACTGGGACCTTCGGTGGAGCTCCCTATGGGGCCACGAAGCGTTGTACTGGGCGGGGAAGACGCATGCGAGTGCAGCAACTGAGGCCTTTGGTGAAGCTCCTATGGGGCCGCGAAGCGCAGTATTTGGTGGGCAGCCACTGGGGCATTCGGTGGAGCTCCCTATGGATTTCACGAAACGCTGTACTGGGTGGGGGACCGCATGCGAGTGCAGCACATGGGGCCTTCGGTGAAGCTCCCTATGGGGCCACGAAACGTTGTCCTGCGTGGGGGAACCGCATGCGAGTGCAGTCACTGGGGCCTTCGGTGGAGCTCCCGATGGGGCCACGATGCTTTGTACTGGGCGGGGGAACACCATGCGAGTGCAGCCACTGGGGCCTTCGGTGGGAGCGCCCTACGGGGCCACGATGCTTTGTACTGGGTGAAGGAACCGCACGCGAGTGCAGCCACTGGGGCCTTCGGTGGAGCTCCCTATGGGGCCGCGGAGCGCAGTACTGGGTGGGGGGAATCGCGCGCGAGTGAAGCAACTGGGGCCTTTGGTGGAGCTCCCTATGGGGCCACGAAACGTTGTAGTAGGTGGGGGAACGCATGCCAGTGCAGCCACTGGGGCCTTCGGTGGAGCTCCCTGTGGTCCACGAAACGCTGTACTGAATGGGTGTCCCGCATGCGAGCGCCGCCACTGGGGCCTTCGGTGGAGCTCCCTACGGGGCCACGAAGCGCTGAAATGGGTGGGGGTCCCGCATGCGAGCGCAGAAACTGGAGCCTTCGGTGAAGCTCCCTATGGGGCCACGGAGCGCTGTACTGGGTGGGGGAGACGCGTACTGATGAGGGCAGGGGCAGGGAGGGGGAGGATCGGGAGGAGGGAGGAGGGGGAGGAGGGCGGGAGGTGATAGGACTCGGGGCGTTGTCTTTTCAATCCGAGGACCCAGCACCACAGCAGGATGGTTGGGAAGTATCAGGCACGTGCAATCTGGCGAGAGCTGCCCCGCCGTGGAGTCTGTGCTCCTCTCTCTCTCTCTCTCTTGGACGTCCAGGAACATATCATTGGAAGCTGCCATCAAGATAATATTACGTTGTTTCTGGGGGGCCCTTCTTGGGTACTTTCGAAAATCCCGTAATCGCTTTGACCTCTTCTCGATGCCCAGACTTCATCAATTTGGGGCCAAATCCTTGAACTATCGTGCATACTCAACCTCGGAGCCCCCGGCGAAACCGCACTGCTGCTCCAGCTCTGGGAGACTTTTGTATTCAGGGAGGGGAATTACGTTGGACTCGTTGCCGTAAAAGGCTGACTCCTCAGGCTTCGGCGTTTCCAACATACAGACTTGGCAGCGGTCCAAGGGCTCATCAAGACAGCAACTGCACGCAATGTCACATGTGTTACCATCTGCCGCGAACCGGAGTAGGCTAAGTCCGCGTCTTCCACCAGCTCCTGCACGGGGCGGGCGCCTGTCGGGCAATCACCCCGGCGCGCCTAGCGTGTCCTCGCAGCCTCTCGTGGAGGCAGACGGTGGACGCGCCCGTGCTGGGATTACATCGTCAGCGGCCGATCCTTGTCACAGCAGTCCCTGGTGAGCTCGCGGTCGTCGCCCCTGTGCATGGCGTTCAGAGCTCGAATGTTCTCATCAGCCAGATGCATCAGGGACATCTTCTTACAAAGTCGTTGGCGGATGCGGCGGGACTCGCGCTGGGAACGGGCCGGTTTCTCCACCAATGGGATCGGGTACAGCATGGCGCCAGGCGCCCCAGCAGCCACTCACTCATCACGTTGGTGTTTAGCTTTGCTGTGTGATATGGTGGCTTGGACTAGCCAACTGGGAGCCACATCCGTCTGGCTGCCTGGAGGGCCCCCCCGCAGTATATGAAGAGCTCTGGTACGATCCCCCGAACGGCTTTTATACATGTAGGCCACCAGGCGGCGGAGAGAAGTTTCAATCAGGCCGCTGGTGCCCAAGAAACGCATCAGGGCCTCCTCCGAACTACAGTCCCCGCCAAGTCGACCGTCTTGGCCAAGGTCCACAAGTCCGGCAAAATCGGAGATGCCCGACTGCCACAGTAGCGAGACGATGGCCAGTCCCGAACGGAAGTACAGCCCTCGGCCCTCGCTGAACGATCTGCCTCCGCCGCCGTCATCTGCAAGTCGGGGGTGGGAGCGCCGCTCCCCACCGTGTCTCCTGGCTGCACCCTGCCGCTTGCAGCAACGCTCCTGTGGTCAGCAGCACTCTCTGTTGTGGTGCACTGACCTCGGAGGCCATACTCTTTGCCTCCCAGTTTGCTCGCTGCACTTGCTGACGCCTTTTGGTGCCTGGCTGACCAGGCCCGTGATGCAGCTGAAGCCTCGCGGGCAAAATCCGGCAGCCCCACCAAGGGCGGGAGGGGCAGCCTGGGTCAGGGCGTCCAGCCCGTGAGCCAAGCCGGTCGGCGATGGTCCCCTGGCCGAATGCCGAAGTAGCCGTAGCAGCGCAGCGACTGGATGACGGTGGGGTCGAGCTCGGACCTCTGCTCCATGCTCGACACGTACCCCCAGAATTTGGCGCCCCAATTCGGGTCCACTCTGGCGGTCCCGCTGGAGGCTAGGCTGTCAGGGCCGGGGTGGGCATATGAGTGAAGTGACGAGCGAAGGTAAGGTAAACGGTATATCTCCGTGTGCTTGTGCAATAATGTGCGACAAGACATGTGCTCCCATCCTGCTGCCCCACAGTGCTCACCGAAAACTACCATCCACGAGCTCATTGGACCATTCTCGCACCGTTTCCCTCCCCACGCCTCTCATTCGCCTTGTTCTCCTCCCCCCTCTCCTTTCCCCTCCCCCTTCTCCGCGTCCTCCATCTCCTCCTCCCCCACGTTCCCGGTCTCCTCCTTCTCCCCCTCCTCCCCCTCCTCCTCCTCCTCCTCCTCCTCCTCCTCCTCCTCCTCCTCCTCCTCCTCCTCCTCTGGCTCATTCCCCTCCTCTCCGTCCCCTTCCTCTTCCTCCTCCCCTCCCCGCCCTCTTCGCTCCACCCGCTCCAACTCGCCCCCCTGGGCGGGCCCGAGGTGACGAAGCACAACAGGCAGCTCCAGGCCCCCCAGGGCGGGCCGGGGGGGGGGGTGCGGCAAGCGGCGCTCTCTTCCGAGGCGCGCAGGTCAGGGAGGGGCAGGCAGCGATCCCAGTGCGTTGCCATCGCTTACATCTTTGGGGTGCGTCCTGGGGGGCCCTCCTCCTCCTCCTCCTCCTCCTCCTCCTCCTCTCCTCCTCCTCCCTCCTCCTCCTCCTCCTCCTCCCCCTCCCCCTCCCCCTCCTCCTCCTCCTTGTCGCCATGGCTGCACTCGCCCCGACAGTCTGGTCAGGGCGCACTCGCCGGGAGAGGTCCGAGGCGTAGCTTTGTCGATATGTTGTGGCTCCCCCAGCAGGGGGAGGCATTTCTTGCGCCTCGGCCAGATCTCATGGCCGCTCTTCTTCTTCTTCTTCTTCTTCTTCTTTCAGACGTCCCCCTCCCCCCCCCCCTCGTCTGCGCACACGCCTCGGGTGAGGATGCGCCAGTCCCCCTCCTGGACCCCCGCGTCGACGCACCCGCGGGTCTGGGAAGCATGCCGTTGTCCTTGAACCCAGGGAGGGCGAGGAGAAGGGATTTGGGGAGGGAGGAGGGAGGGGCGGGGAGGGTGAAAGGCAGGGAGGGTGGAGGAGGAATGGGAAGATGTCAGGGCATTCGCCTTGAGTTGAGTCGCCGTTGCACACAGATTCCACGGGCAGGCCACAAGGGCTTGTCGTGTGTTTGAACACGCACACACACACACACACGTCCGCGCACCAGAATAGTCAGACCGTTGATAGACGGCCTGAGTATCCAAAGATCTCCAGACGCCTCTTTGAATGATGGTCAGTGTTTGGGTCATGTGTGTTTGTGCGTACGTGCGCGTAATCTTTGTGCGTGTGCGTACGTTCTGCGTCCTTTGTTGCGCACCAGTTTCCGCAGTTCCCTCCTTCGGTATCTTCCGAGGCCGCTATCTTCGTGTTCCGTTTGTGTCGGTGCGCAATTAGCTGATCAGTTATGCCGCGTCTCGGTTGTTACTATCCGACGCTTCAAGAGTGTTGCGCACCAGTCAGTATGTCGAGAGGTTCGGCGCATGTTGGCTCCCTAGCGCGACTCCGTATCGCTGAGGGGGTCCCAGTTCTGATGCGTACCATGAGTGCCGCGCTCGTGAACCTGGATTGGTGTCAGCGTGTCCCAGCTGAGATGAGGGGGAAGGCATGGATGATGATAGTGATGTTACTGCTGATGATGATGGTGATAGTGATGATGATGATGATGGTGATGGTGATGATGTTGATGATAGTGATGCTGATGATGATTCATATGGTGGTGCTGCTGATGACGATGCTGATGGTGGTGGTGATGATGATGGCGATGCTGATGCTGATGCTGATTAGCATGATGATGATGATGCTGATAATGATGATGCTGACGATGATGACGATGCGGATGAAACTGATGATGATGCTGATGCTGACGATGATGATGTTGATGATGACGACGACGACGATGATGATGATGAGGATGATGAGGATGATGAGGATGATGGGGAGGAGGCGGAAACATCGCCTGAGCCAGACCCTGGGAGGAGGAGGAGGAGGAGGAGGAGGAGGAGGAGGAGGAGGAGGTTGACTGGGCCTGCCCGCGCGGAGGCGCAGCTCCAGCACAGGGAGAAGGCCCGCCAGCCCACCGCCTCTTCCCTCCGCCATCGTGAACCCGGATCACGAATGTCTCAGGACTGCGACTGCGAATCGAAGCGAACATTCAAGTCTCTTCCATTCTGACCGATGGCCGAAGGCTCTCAGCAAGGCCGAGAAGCTCGGGCGCAAGCATCCGTGCTTCGACCGTCTAGACTCGCATCGCGGCTTGGCTTACTCACCCATTCACTCTCCCACTGCTGATGCGCACGGGATGTGGACGGGGAGCAGTGACTGCTCCCCCTGGACATCCCGTGCGCATGACACACTGGCGCCACTTGAGGGAACCATCTCCTCTAGAGCACCCCGGCCGGCGGTTTGAAAGGGATGCAGCGCAATGGGGAGGGGCGGGTGGGAGGGGTCGTGTGTCAAAGAAAGGGCGGGCGCGCATAGCCTGTCCTCCACCTATTCTCCACCCCCTCCGCCCTCCAGCTCTGGTTGATGGTGCCTCTGTCTCGAGCTCGCGCGGTCGGAAGAGGAGTCGCCGGCGACGTGGGCACGGCCGCCCGGTGCCGCTGGGCGCCTCGCTCTTTCAGGAGGGGAACAAAAACACACAGACACAATTCATCGGCGATTCTCAGAAAATACGGGAAAATATGGGCAGTGGGGGGGGGGGGAGAAAAAAGCCCCGGAGATATTGGAAGATAGGGGGAATCTGTGTATTTGTGTGTGTTGTGTGTGTGTGTGTGTGTGTGTGTGTGTGTGTGTGTGTGTGTGTGTGTGTGTGTGTGTGTGTGTGTGTGTGTGTGTGTGTGTGTGTGTGTGTGTGTGTGTGTGTGTGTGTGTGTGTGTGTGTGTGTGTGTGTGTGTGTGTGTGTGTGTGTGTGTGTGTGTGTCCCAGTTCCCCTTCACTCTTGTCCGTGCGTGATGACGAGCCGTTCGAGGCGAGGCATCGTCACCCTCCCCCCGCCCCCCCCTTTTCCTCACGCCCCCCCCCCTTCCTCACGTCCCTCCCTAGGCCTCGCTCCCGTTTCCTTTGCCTCTCCGCATCTACGTCGGCAAGCCCCTCGCACGTGTCGCGGCCCCACGGGGACTTCCTCGGCAGGCCCCAGGGGGGAAGCGAAGCCTCTTCTGGCGCAAGGTCATGCTTCCCTTGGAGAAGTGGTCGGGCACCGCCGATTCGACCACGGCTGGCCTTCAGTATTATCTTTGCTTCGCACCATCGTGCATCAAGCAGGTTCCCTCGGCTTTGGGCTATGCTGACAGTGCTAGTCGTGTGCGGTCCGCCATTGCAGAGCCCTGGAAGTGCAGTTGCGGGGAGTTCAGCACCAAGGGCATTCGGAGTTGTTGAGGGCGCGGGGCGACGCGCGAGGCGTGAATCCTGGAGCGCAGGCTCGCCGACTGGCGCCACGTTCTTGGTCGGCGGCAAAAGGTTGGCTAACAACAAGCAGTGGAACCGGGCGCGGAAATCGTGGTCGCTTCGGGAAGCAGCAGCCCGCAGCCACCTTCTGGTGCCACGGTCAGTTCCAGCGAGGTCCGGGCGTTGGCGGAGTTGTTCAGCAAAGCTTTCGAGGAAACAAAAGCACTCTGTCCAACTCTGCTCGGGCCGCGGTGGAGATCGCTCGGCGCGCCGCTGCTGTTGGCGTGCTGGGCGCTGTTGGGCGCGGTGCTCCTCCAGCTGTCGACAAGGCTGCTCGCTCCGTTCAGAGCACTAGGGACCGCTTAGCGAGCAATCAGGATGAGGCTGCGAGAGCGCTGGCGGACGCCGAGGGCGAAGTCGCGAAGCTGGAGAAGGAGTGGACAAGTGCGAGGCAGGAGGCCGCCAAGCTTTACGGCGCCACTGCGGGCGGCATCGGCGCCAAGCATCCCGTGGTCGGGCTCGCTGCGATCCCTGCCGAGAACGCCCCGCCGGCCGACTCCCCCGAAGGACTCCCCAAGCCGCCGTCGACGAGCTGGAGCACTCCAGCCCGCCAGAGCAGTCGCCTGCCAGCTTGCCCGCCGTCGCGCCAGGCGAAGGTGGAGGTGCAGGAGGAGGAGCTCCAGCAGCAGCGGGGCCACCAGTGCCAGAGGAGAACGATGGAGCGGCCTCGCTCGACATCTCCATGGGCTTCGCGCTGCAGCCGCGGACCTGGAAGCGCGCGAGGAAGCCCGAGCCGCGCGGCAAGCTGGCGGACGAAATGCCCAGACCCACTATTCCGCGCGAGGATGCAGCCCTCCGTGCACTCCTCCAGGCATTGCGTCTGGCCTGGAACCGCCGCGCGTGGACCCGTGAGCACGCGGCGCTCGCAGGCCAGGAGCGCCACCGGCGAGGCATCTGTGGCGCCGGAGCGCAGTGGACAGACACAGCGCAGAGGCTTTTGCACTGGGATCTCGAACGCCAGAAGGAGCGGATCGCCCGGTGGCGGGCCCGCCTCACGCGCCAACCGCTGGGCCAGCAAGTTTGCCAGTGGGTGCGGGCGCGAGTGTGGAGACCTACGGGCGCGGCCCTGCTGGCGCCCGACAGGGTCGAAGCAGAGGGCAAGGCAGCGGCGGCAGCGCGGCAGCATTGCCAGAAACATTTTTCGAGCGTCGTCAAGGGCACGGACATGGAGGGTTTCATGAACTCCTTCGAGACGGAGCTCCGTCAGTGCCGCCCACGGTTGGAGGCGCGGGACAGAAAATAGTCAGTTTGGCGAGAAGCGACGCAGGTTCCACGGAGTTGGGGGCCACCGTCGATAGGGGAGTTCCGGCACCATCTCCATAAAATGGAGGGCGAATCGCGCGGGTTTGACGGTTCGGGCGCCGAAGAATTGTTTGTTTTGCCCGACGGGGCGTTATCTTTAATCGTGCAGCTGGGGCACGGCGAGGTCGCCCGGGAGGCCTTCGGAAGCGGCGGCAGATTTTATTTTTGGTGGATGACGCAGCGGCGCCGCACGTGCAGCGCCCGCGGCCGGCAGCGTCGTGCCGAGGGCGCGGACGAGGCACCGCACAGAGCAGCTGGCAGACGACCTGGAATCCGCGTGGCCCGCCGGACGGGGCGGGGGTGTACCCGACATCCCCCCAGAGGCGTGGGTCGAAGCGCTCGCCTCGGCGGTGGATGTTGCAACCCTGGCGCGTCTGGCGGCCGCCGCCTTGGGGCGCGCGGCAGCAGGTGAGGAGGCAGCGCCGCGGCGCGAGGCGCCCCCCGGCGGGGCACCAGAAGAGGAGGCAGAACCAGAAAGCGCAGGAGGAGGGGGAAGGGGAGGAGGAAGGGGAGGGGGAGGAGGAGGAGGAGGAGGAGGAGGAGGAGGAGGAGGAGGAGGAGGAGGAGGAAGAAGCTGAGGAGGCAGATCACGAGGCAATCGAGGAGGAAGAGGAGAAAGAACAGGAGGAGGAGGAGGAGGAGAAAGAGCGGGAGGAGGAGTAGGAGGAGGAGGAGGAGGAGAAAGAGGAGGAGGAGGAGGAGGAGGAGGAGGAGGAGGAGGAGGAGGCAAAGGACGAGGCATTTGAGGGGCGTCGGGCCGAGGAGGCAGGAGGAGACGCAGCTCCCGCCCCAGCTCAGGAGGCAACCGCGCCAGGCACGACCTCTAGACACTTTCAAGCGTGCCCACCCCGATCTGGTTCGCATGGTATGCTTGGAATTCGGCGTTCCTTCTTAGCACGTGGGCCCCATCGCGCGGGCGTGGAAAGCGCAGCAGCGCGTGGAAGTGGAACTTCATGTCGAGCCTCGCACGGCAGCCGCTCCAGGGTCCTTTCGGGGCCATCTCGGGATCCTCTTGAGGATATGTTGGGAGTTCTCATGGCCCACATGGGGGGTCTTTGGGTTCTCCTGGGGGCCTCGGCGGCCCTTCTGATGCCATCTTGGAGGACATCCATCACCCAATGGCGGGTCCTGTTTGCCCCCACCCCCCGCCTGAGCCCGAACCCATCCTCTCTTGGAGCCCTCGTGGGACGTATTTGGAGAACTCTTGGGCGCTTCTGGGGCCGTCTTGGAGCCCCTGCGGGCCCCTCTTTGGGCTCTCTGGAGTGATCGGCACCTTGAAGCTTCATGGGGCCAATCGGAAGCGAAACGGCGAGAGCCATCTTCAAACAGTTTACGTCTTTGAAGGGTGTTGGACTTGGCACGTCGGGGATCTCATCGAGGACCTCCGTTGCCACTGGGAGCCGTCTTGGAATAATGTCCGAAGTAATATTGCATCATCTTGGAGGCCACCTTAGGCTATGTGAAGCTCACTTGGAGCCATGCTGTGCCGTCTTGGGCGCTCTTTCGCCTCGCGCCCCTCCTCGTCCAGACCGAGTGGAGGGGAAGAAGAGGGTTGGAAGACCAAGATCGCTAAACCGCCTGCGCCCAGAGGGCCGAAACGTTTATTTTCTTTTGGCCCTTGGCGAAATCCGCCGAGATGGCACAAACGTCACAACGTGCAGTCGACAATCGCTACTGCTATTCCTCTCTCTTGTTCGTCCGTGCGTCTTTGCATACCGACATTCAGCCTGACACTGCAATGACGATGCAAGTGAACATGCAAGCTCTTCACGCTCCCATCAATATCCGTATCATCTGAATCCTGGTGCGTGAGGCACTCTGACCAGAATACGCTGTAGGTCTTAGCCAGTTCCCTGACTCATGTGATTGGGGGAGGGCATTTGCAAGCCACCCAGACCACGCAGGGTGAGACGGTTGCGACTGGCCTTGAGGCGATGATGGCAACAGGGAACGTCGGATGAGGAGCGAAGTCCCTCTCGGGCCTCACTTTGGCCCAGATGCCCGACGAGCGGGAGGGGGGTCCGATGGACGGATCTCAGGAGCATGGAGTTACCTTCGAAACCCAAGCGGGGTGTCTCTCGAAAAATTGATGGCGACCTTGTCCACAGAGGGAGCGCACGTGTGTACAGAGGCACGCGGCCGCGGCGCGCCCTCTCTTCTCCCGCGGAGGTCGAGGAGGCCGTGAAGCTGCTTGAGGAGGAGAAGGGCAAGATCCAAGAGAAATTCGAGGCCACGCTTTCGGATGCATTTGCATGAGGGAGGAGGAGGAGGAAGAGAAGGAGGAGGAGGAGGAGGAGGAGGAGGAGGAGGAGGGGGAGGAAGAGTAGGAGGAGGAGGACGAGGAGGAGGAGGAGGAGGAGGGCGGAGGATGAGGAGGAGGAGGAGTAGGAGGAGGAGTGCATGAGGGTTCATAACAATCCCAGTTCTGGAGGGGTTCTCTTTGTAGTTGTGCTCTCCAGCCTGAAGCGTTCTGTGGTGTGATTATCTCCACAGGACCTTGGGCCTTCGGTGCAGGGGGTCATGCTCTTGACCAACTCTCGCGTGTTCACGTGGCGTATGTGGATTAGTGGCCGGGAGGGGATTTTTCAGCACGAGCAGTGTTGTCAAGTTCTGGTGGGAGTAGAAGCGCTTCCAGTGATCATCGAGGTGCGCGTTGGGAGCAGCATCGATTCAAACGCCAATGGCTTCGCCATGACCTGGTCCCTCTGAAATGCTGGCCGCGCCGGAGTAGCTGGACTCAGCATCCCCTAATCGTGCTCCTCCTCTGAGGGTCGGATCCCTTCACTTGCCAGGGCGGCGGAAGCACGCCGCCAACGTCTAGCCGCCCCTGGGCCTGTGGAGGAGGAGGAGGAGGGGCAGGGGCGGGGAGATAACGAGTGGGAGAGCGGAAACGGACGGAGGGGGCTGAGAAGGATTGTCGGAGGCGACGATAGATGGGGGCGAGTGGCCCAGGGGCGAGCATTACATGTATTCAGGTGCGCCGATGATCTATGTCTTCGAAAAGGCTCCCGGGCGAATACGTGTAATGCCCGCCTCTGGGCTATTCGCCCTTATCGTCGCCGCCGAGATTGGGCAGGAGGAGGAGGAGGAGACCCGGCCCCTCCGCGTTTGTGGCGGGATGCCAGCGCAGGGAGGGGCGCCGCCGAGGGTTCCAGTCGCTGCCGCAGGTGCTATCTCCTCCATCCCTCCGGTCCTTGTCCCCCACCCCTGCTGCCTCGATGAGGATGGTCGGAATCTGGAACGTACACATTACCAGGGGCGGGTTGTTTTTTAATCCCAAGACATTCGAGGGTCGGGGACGACGTCGGGGTGGTGTGATGTACACTTCTCCCCCGTTTTCCAAGGGAAACAACGAAAAATGTATATACCAGGATCCCGTGTACACCAGGATCCGCGCTCCTGTGCGAATTTCGGCGCAGGGTCGGACAAAGCGTCGGTGTATAGAGTTCGTTTCGCTAGATGGGGGGGGGGGACGGCGACGACCACCCACCACGAACGTGTGTGTCTCACATGGCCAGGGCATTTTTTGTGTGTTGTGTGTCTGTGCTTCCCGTTGGGAGGTGTCAAAGTTTCACTGTCGTGTTCTGTTCCGTGTCCGTAAACACATGTGAATGAGATTATGCAGATGTTTCTTCTGCAATCCGCACACCGTTGTGTTTCTGCGTTCGTAGCCATATCCCGTGCAGTTGTTTTAAAAAATTCTTTCTAGTATCCACATGCGTCACCTGCCCCTCCGTTTTCGTTCATTTACCAGGTCGTGTCCAATCCGCGTTCGGCCTGTGAACAAACAACTTTTGTTCGTGCCTCTTTCCGAGTTGCCGCTTTCCGCTGCATGTGTTTCAGATTCCGCGCCCAGGTCGCGCCGTTTGGTGTTCGCGTGCGTGTGTGAGTGTGTGTTTGTGCGTGTGCTTGCTTGTGCGTTTGAAGCCAATGTTTGAGATTCGACCGGCGACATCTGAAAGCGTGCAGAAGACGCTGGGGTCGTTTCTAGAGAGCCGCGGCCACGACAACGATTGACAGACCACGGACGACAACGACGACGACGACGGACGACGACAAGGACGACGACAACGACGACGACGTGGCACGGACCACAGACGACGACGGACCTTTCTCCGCCCATCCTGGCTTTCTTGTCTCGTACCTTCTGCGCTCCCCTCGCGACCCCTCCCCTGTACCCCCCCTCCCCGGGTGCCCTTCCCCCACTCCCCGCCTCCTCCCTCAACTGTCTATCACCCCGTTCTCCATCCCTGCCCATTCCACTCTGTCGCCCCCTTACCCCCACCACGCTCCGCCACACTAATCGTCCTCTCAACCTCGCAGTCCTCATTCTCCTTGCCCTCCCGCTGATTTCTCTGTGTTTACATATCCTCTGGCTTGCGGTGTCCCGTCTTCTTCCTGCTGCAGTATTGGGGTTGGTGATGCGAATGCTTCGGTGTTTGCATACTTTTTGGCTGGTCGGATTGAGGGGCTTGTTCTGCATGAGTTCGAAACGCCCGAATCAAGACAGAAGTCCGCCGCGGGCCCTGACCATTCGATCGAAAGCGCCTCCTGCGAGCCACCTTAGCCCCCTGCCTGTGGAAGCGCGTGTGCGGCGGCATGCTGGGCGCCGGTGACGTCTGGGAGCCGCTGGGGGAGGCCGCGGGAGGGGCCCCTTGGGAAGGGGCTTGTTGAGGGTTGCCTGGGGCCCGCGGGGCCTCTTCGTGGGTTTCCCGGGGGCCGCGTGGGGTCTCCCTCGGAGGCCTCTCGTGAGGGCTTCCTGGGGGGCTCCCTCGGGATATAAACCTTGGGGTCCTCTCAGGATACCTCGGGGCTCTCTCGGGATATCTTTGGCCTCTCTGGGCCCATTGGGGCTCTCGCTGCAGGGCTAGCTTAGAGCGCCCTTGATCCGTCTGGCGCCGTCGGATGCCGTCTTGCTCCGTCTGGCTACTGGTCCGTCTTGAGTCCCTCGAGAGGCTCTCGAGGGCGGGCTTGGGAGTCGCTTCGGCCATCTCGGGGCCCTCCTGGGCTCTCTTTGGGGACCTGCGGAGTCATCCCGGCGCTTTCTGGGGCCGTCTTCGGTCCCTCTTCGAGGTTTTTTGGGGCCGTCTTGGGGAGAGGTTGGAGGCTTACTGGGTACGCGAGAAGATGTTCATCTATGGTTGGTCAGTGGTTTGGGCCTCTTTAGGCCCGCTGGTGGCCGTCATGGCGGCGTTCTGGGGCCGTTGGGCCCTTTTGGGCCGTTCTGAAACTCTATGATGCGGCCTTGGGGCCACGTTGGGCCGTCTTTGACCCAGCTTGGAGGCCTCTCGGACCCTTCTTCGGCCATCTTATATGTCGCCCGTGGCCGCCATGGGAGCCATCTTGGGTCCTCGCGGCCAGCTTGGAAGCAGATTCTCTCGGCATGGAGGGCGGTTGCGTGGCCTGCCGTGAGGTTGGCGGAACGGGCCGAGAGTCAGCGCTTTTGCTCCCAACCATCCAGTGGTGCTGGGTCCTCGTTCTGAAGAGGCAGCGCCCCGCGTCCTCCTCCTCCTCCTCCTCCTCCTCCTCCTCCTCCTCCTCCTCCTCCTCCTCCTCCCTCCTCCCACCCTTGCCTCTGCCCTCCGCACTGCATGTCCAGATTCGGCACGCCCCTCGCACGCTCCGCGGCCCCATGGGGAGGTCCACCCGAGGCCCCAGACAGTGGGTTGCGCACGCGGCCCCCCAGTGAACTTCGGCACACCCCTCACGCATGTTTTCAGAGCCCCGACTCATCAGGGGTAACCGCATGCCGATGATAATAAAGGGACCCCCCCCTTCAGTGTTTAGAGTTGATTATCGTCGCCCTATACAAAATTCAAATTGGGCGGCGAGCGCTGAGGCCGAACTTCATTATCACCTCGAAACGCTATGTTGAGATAGCAACATCAAGCGATGTTGCTATCCCCGCGCGCGCCTGAACTTTTGTATCTCTGGGGTTGATTATCCATGGAAAGGGGAGCACATGAGCTACCCTACATGAGCACTTAAACAAATCAATGTTCATAAAGCGTTTGTACATTAAAATTGATAGATTTGGAACTTTCCATTTTTCCGTTCTTCTTCTCTTCTTATTATTATATTATTCTTCTCTTCTTATTATTATTCTACTTTCCTCTTCTTCTTTTATATTTCTATATGTCCTCACGCTCGCCTGAACTTTTTTATCCCTGGGGTTGATTAGCCATGGAAAATGAAGCACATGAGCTACCCTACACGAGCACTTAAAAAAATCAATTTTCATAAAGCGTTTGTAAATTAAAATTGATAGATTTGGAACTTTGGATTTTTCCTTTCTTCGTCCTCTTCTTATTCTCCTCTTCTTCTTCTTTATTATTATTCTTCTTCTGTATTCTTCTTCTTTTATATTTCTCTCTGTCCCCACGCTCGCCTGAACTTTTTTATCTCTGGGGTTGATTATCCATGGAAATCGAGGCACATGAGCTACCCTACACGAGCACTTACAAAAAACAATGTTCATAAAGCGCTTGTAAATAAAATCTAATATATTTGAAACTCGAGGTTTTTTCTTCTCTTCGTCCTTCTCCTCCGCCTATCATTTCCTTTATTTTATTATGTATTATTTTTATTTTTCTTTTTTATATATAGCTTCCTCCATTCCAGCGAGATAAGCCATTGTTGAGGATATTTCTGTGAAAACTAAACGCCAAGGATGTCTCAAAACGTGCTCGGCTTGGTCTCCTCTTGATCATCTCTTACTTCGAGATTATGCTGAGGTCTGCTGGGCTACTTTTATTATCTCTCCCTGAACCCCGAACTTTATTATCCCCTAGTGTTTATTCTCACGGGCATGAGGTTAATTCGGGTCAGGGCTAACTCGGGGTCGTTTTTCGGGATTCCGAACCCGACTTACCCTTGGCCCGACTCACCCCGGACAATTCGGGCGTCCAGAGCCCCAAATCATCAGGGGCACCTCGGGTCAGGGCGAACCCGGGTTGGTTTTTTTCGGGAGTCTAAGCCCGAATCACCCCGGACCCGAGTCACCCCGGATAACTCGGGCGCCCAATGTTTGCCCGCAAGGAGGAAAGACTGGCCTACTCTGCAAGAACGGTTTTCTGAAGGCAGCTCTGCCTTCAAAAGAACGGTGTTTTGAAGGCAGATCTGCCTTCAAAACACCGTTCTTACAGAGTAGACCAGTCTTTCCTCCTTGCGGGAGGCCAGCGCGGCAAAGGCCAGCGCGGCGCGCGCCGCGGGGGCGAAGGGCGGGGGCGAGGGCGGCGGCGAAGGCCCGCTGGGCGGGCGGAGCTGGCCGGGCGCGGCATCCACGGGCGGCGGTGGGGCGCGGCGGTGGGGCTCCGAGGGAGGGCGGCGGGGCCGCGGCGAGGCCCCTATACAGTCGGGGCCCTGAAGAGGGAACCCCTTTTTCGTTGGGGAGGGGCTCCGTGCTCCTTGAGATTGTTCCGCGGTTTGCCTCCTGTTCTCCGGAGGTTCTCCATGGGAAATCGAAGCTCAACTCATGGGAGAAAGGGGCCCCGTTCCTTCTTTGGGGTTCCTGAGGTCCACGCCCCGACGGTAGGCCCAGTGGGCCCTCCGGGGTCCCCGCCCCCCGCGGTCGTCGGCGAGGCCAGCCAGGCCGAGCAGAGACGCCTGGAGGCCGTCCTGGCGGAGACGTCCCAGCGGAACCAGGAGCGCGCGGCCACCTGGGGGGGGGGTGCGGCCGAGGAGGGCGACGAGATCCATTCAGAGTGTGAATTACCTACCCCGCTTTCGCTTCCAGGCAAAGCCAAGTCATACCACGCGCCTCCTCGGCAAGCGGCCTGATTAGTACATGCCGTAGTTTGGCATCGTTTGGTATCTCTTGGAAGCGAGGGTGGTCAAAAGCGAGCTAGGTTTGTTTGCCCCGTATCCATACAGATCTCGCTGCGCGGTGTCCGACCCCGAGGCACAGAGTTCCGGGCCGGTGCGGGAGGTCGCCGCCGCAATCGCGGCGGCCTGAAGTGTTTGTTGCAAGGCGTTTTGTTCCAAGCAGTGGCGATTCCCCTTCGCGGCCCTCTCCGCTCTGCAATGTAGACGCGGCTCGTAACCATCAATATAGCGACAGAGAGTTGTCGATGTATGTCCAACATGGACACTCCTGTTTGTTGTTCGTTGTGGGTCGATCATCACGAAACCAATATCCAATGCTACTGGCCAGGCCCATCCTGGGTCCAGGAGCTGTGTGTATGCCTCCCTGGCCAAAGCAGGATGGCGCATACACCGCCCCCAGTGCCAGAATGGGCCTGGGCAGGAGCAGTGGATCTTTATGAATATTGTCCCCCTGCGGAGCAGGCAGATGCAGAGGGGGGGAAGTCGATGAAGACAAGAGGTACAAACGTAACCTTTCGGAGCTCCGCGCAGATTTCTTGGACTGGCGCCAGATACCCCCCTCCCTGGCGGCGCAGGATCGCCGATGCCAGGAGTCCGCGCGGACTCCCGCAAGGTTGTGCTTCTGCAGTCGGTCTCGCTCCAAGGGTCTGCGACGGAGGACGCGGAGAAGGATGGGGAGGCGAGGCGAGGAGGGGGGGGGGCGAGGAGGAAGGGCGATGAGGGAGGGGCGAGGGGGGGGGCGAGGAGGTGGGGGGGGGCGAGGGGGGGGCGAGGAGGGGGGGCGAGGAAGGGCGACGAGGGAGCAGGGGCATGGCGACGAGGAGGAGGGGGGGGGGGGCGAAGGACCATCGAGGAGCATCCTTGATCATTTGGCGAAAAAACCACGCACGAAACCGGAAATAACACAGGGAATGGACGTCCGAGCGATGGCCAGATCGGTGGGCGGGCAAGAGTCACCGGGCGCGCTCCACGATTCGCAAGGTGCCTGCCCGCCAACGACTGGAAGACAGCAGGCTCGCCTCGATGCAACGGGTCGTAAAAAGCATCCTCGGCGGGGCCAGGCCATTTGCGAGTGGTTACTTTGCGTGTAGTGGAGCGCGCTTGTCTAGAGAGGGGGGTGATGACTGGGGGGGTACCATGACGGGGCCCATGATATCTCCCCAGGTTCATGGCGCCTCTTCTCACAATACGTCCTCCGCCCCCCCCCACCCTGAGTTGCGCTCGTGCCGCCAGCCATGATTTGCGACCCCCCCCCCTCTTGGACGCCCCCCTTTTGGACGCCCCCGAAGCCACGGCGTCGGCGCCCTTCGGGCCTCCGGGCCACGAGGCCCCCCTGGGCGGGGCCAGCGACGGGGCGACGGCAAGGAGCTCCCTGGAACACCGGGCACCCCCAGGGTAGCCGCAGAGCAAAGATCTGCTACTATACACGCAGGAGTAGCCTTTCGCGCCGGAGTGCCCTTCTGGTGCGGGCCCAAAGGGGCCCCCCGATCGCCGAGCGGCCGCAGCGGCTCGCGCCGCCCCTTCGCCCCTGGTACGCCGCGCACCGAAGGCCACTCTTGCCCGGTGTCAGCCCTTGCGTGCCGCCGAAGAGAGTGGCATCCGTCCGACTTCTCGGAGCCTCCGCGCGGGGTTCCTGGGTGGTCGGCGCTGGGCGGCGCATCGCGGGCGCCGCTCTCGGGGAGCGCTCCGCGCACCAGGGAGGGGGGTCCCGCGCCGACCCGGAAGTCCGCGCAGGCCTCCGAGAAGCTGTGGTCATGCCGTGTGTTTGGTTTGTCGGGGCATCGACGGAAGGAGCGATGCAGTCTATGAGCTATTGGGGGCTGATTTCTTCACGTGGAAGTATTCCCGAGCCTCTTGTGTCGGGCTCTCGCTTTGAATAGAACACACTGGCCGAGTCTCCTCCTTCCTCCACCCCCCTCTGCCTCACACTTCCTGCCTCCACGTGCCCTTTTTCTTGTTCTTCTTATTCTTATTATTCTTATGTTTCTTAATATTCTTAGTATTATTTGTGGTCTGAGTGAGGGGGCCGAACGGTCATTCACTGTCCCTGGGTGCGTGGCTGAAGTGGAATTCCGCGGTGCGGATTCTCGTTGTTGTTGTTGTTGTTGTTGTTGTTGTTGTTGTTGTTGTGGTTGTGGTTGTGGTTGTGGTTGTGGTTGTGGTTGTGGTTGTGGTTGTTGTTGTTGTTGTGGTTGTTGTTGTTGCTGCTGCTGCTGCTGCTGCTGCTGCTGCTGTTGTTGTTGTTGTTGTTGTTGTTGTTGTTGTTGTTGTTGTTGTTGTTGTTGTTGTTGTTGTTGTTGTTGTTGTTGTTGTTGTTGTTGTTGTCGTTCCCACCCGCAACCCGCCCGCGACCCACCGCGACCCAAATCGCGCACCCCGCGACCCACCCGCGACCCCGACCACCCCGCGACCCACCCCACGACCCACCCCGCGACCCACCCGCGACCCACCCGCGACCCACCCCGCGACCCACCCCGCGACACCCGCGACCCACCCGCGACCCACCCGCGACCCACCCGCGACCCACCCGCGACCCACCCGCGACCACCCCGCGACCCACCCGCGACCCACCTTCGACCCAAACCACGTTCAAGGTACAAACCACAATTTTCGGCGCCTGCGGCGGGTTTTTTTTGCATTCCTTCCAGGTGGAGAGCCCGCGACCCACCCCGTGACCAACTCGCGACCAACCCGCGACCCAAACCACGTTCAGGGTACAAACCACATTTTTCGGCGCCTGCGGCGGGCATCTTTTGTATTCGTTTCAGGTGGAGAGCCCGCGGCCCACCCGCGACCACGTTCAGGGTACAAACCACATTTTTCGGCGCCTGCGGCGGGCATCTTTTGTATTCGTTTCAGGTGGAGAATCCGCGGCCCACCCGCGACCCAAACCACGTTCAGTGTACAAACCATTTTTTTTGGCGCCTGCGGCGGGCTGCTTTTGCATTCCTTCCAGGTGGAGGTGGAGAGCCCGCGACCCACCCGCGACCCAAACCACGTTCACTGAACAAACCAATGCCGCACAAGCGCGGCGGCGGATTTTTGCATGCCGTCTGAGCCCGCAAGGACCTCTTCAAGCCCCGCGCATCCACACCAGCCCGTCCAGCAACTTTGCCCTGGCGAGTTGCCTTGATCAGAGAAGTCGGGGAGCATAAAGTGGAAAACAGGATTGTGTTGCAGTTATCTTGGGAAAGGAGGGGGAGGCAGGAGGAGTAAACAGGGGACGAGGAGGACGCGGAAGAAGAGAGGATGTAAGGAGAATGTGGAGAAAGAAAAGGAGGAGGAGCAGGAGGACGAGGAGGAGAGGAGGGGGAGGAGGGAGGACGAGGAGAGGAGGGGCGAGGATGATGATGATGGACGACATGGGAGGACGATGATGGGCCGATGAGGGAAGAGGACGACAATGGGAGGACGATGATGAAAGGACGAGGGGGGGAGAGGGAGGAGAGGAAGAAGAGGAGGAGGAGGAGGCCGAGGTGAGGAGGAGGAGGATGAGGACGAGGAGGACGAGGACGAGGACGAGGAGAGAGGAGGAGGAGGAGGAGGAGAGGAGGAGGAGGAGGAGGAGGAGGAAGCGCCATCGACAAGGAAGGTGGGGGCCACGAGGTCCGCCGGCTCGACGACGCCCGCGTCGCCCGCGCCCGCCCCCTCACTCTTATCCGCAATTGCGGGGTGCTACGTATGTATTGATTTTCGGTTTGTGCTATCGCTGCCGCCCACTTTCGTGGGCTCCTGGGAGGTCGCGCGGATTGGAGGTGGGCCTCTGAGCATAGAAAGCCGCGTCCAGGTGCATCCGGGGTTTGCAGCGGTCCTGCCCGCTGGTGTTGGGTGCATGCTCGAGGCAGGAGGGTGTGTGCGGGCAGGGATGCGGAGGACTCAGAGGAGCAAGAGGAACGAACGCTACGGTCTCGCTGGCCCGAGTTGACCAAACGCACAAAAAAACAATAGGTCATGATGAGTTGAAGGAACACAGATAACATAACAAACAAACACACACGTTCGGAGTTCTGCGCGGAGTTCTTGGATCTGTTCTGCCCCCCCCCCGCGGCGCCTCCGGCGCCACCCCTGGCGCGCTCCGAGACCCAGGATGCGGGGCCAAACGCTGATCCACAAAGTCCGCACGGAGTTCGGAAAGTGTAGTTGTACGTTTCTGCTCTTCCAATAATACTGGCGCTCTCCAAGATGTCCAAGGTCTCTGGGATTTCAAAATGATTCCCAAGGTTCCATAAATATTGCAGAAGCGGGTGCCGCTAGATGTTCCAGAGATTTGGAACGCATCCTGATCCAATCCCATGATGACATCATGCTCGTCCTCTGGACGACGGAATACCAGCCTCTGCGAGCCGCCATTGCGGAGTCAATCGCCGCATTATCTCCAACACCCTCAGGTGAGCGACGGTGTCGTCTGCGCGGACACTCGCGCGTGAGCTGCGGGCGTAAGGCCGCGCGCAAGTGCCCTCGTCTCCCATGCGGCGTGCCGCGCTGGCGGCCCGCGCAAGCCACCGCGTGAGCTCGGGCGGGCGCCCCCAGCACTCTCTTGGCCCAGGCGCAGCTGCTATGCATCATCCCGAGGCGAGAAAACCTCCGAAAACCAACGATGACACCCGAAACGACGACGACGGCCCCGACGGCGTCCGTCGTCGTCGTCGCCGCCGCCGTCATGGTCGTCGTCGTCAGGAGGAGGAGGAGGAGGAGGAGGAGGAGGAGGAGGAGGAGGGGCGGAGGAGGAGGAGGAGGAGGAGGAGAGGAGCAGGAGGAGGAGGAGGAGGAGGAGGAGCCAGGAGGAGAGGAGGAGGAGGAGGAGGGAGGAGGAGGCGGAGGAGGAGGAGAGGAGGAGGAGGGAGGAGGGGGGAGGGGGAGGGGGAGGGGGAGGAGGTGGAGGTGGAGGAGTCCTCGGCGTCGCGGAGGCTTTCAGAGGTCTCGTCCTGCCCCGCGGGCGGGGGCGCCACGCGCCACGCGCCCGCCCCGCCTTGCGCGTGAGGAGCTCCAGGAGGATCTGCGACAGGCGGCCGCCAGGAGCGCCCTTTGTGAGCAGCCGCCGCAGGGGTTGCTCGGTGAGGTACCTCGTCTCTCGAAGAAGAATAAAACGCTCTAAATTTACTTTTCTGGCAGTCCGCGTGGATTTCTTGGATCTGCGCTGGGACCCCCCGGCGGCGCCTCTGGCACCGCCCCGGGCGCGCTCCGGGATCCAGCGCGGATCCAAGGAATCCGCGCGGAGCGCCAAAGTTTTATTATTTTTCTGGCGTTTGTTCTTCTTCTAGTCTCGAGGAGCACAAACGCTGCAAACATGCGGCTGAGGGCAGCAGAAGCAGTGGACGCTCCCCCTCTCCCCCGAGTTCAGGGCTGGCACGCGCGGGGAAGACTGCGGTCGAAGTGCCACTCTGGTCGTTGGGGGGAGCGCTCAGGGCCGGCGGACCTCGAAATTCTGGGCAAGCCCCATTTCTTGGAGCTCCGCGGGGATTCCTCGGATCGGCGCTGGGTCGGCCTGGCGGCGCCTCCGGGCCCCCGCGCCCGGCGCGCTCCGCGCGCCGGGGAGGGGTCCGGCGCCCATCCGAGAAGCCTGCGCGGTCGTCCGACAGTGCGTGTCCGTGCCGGCGTTCTGTTCCTCTGACAGGGGGGGCCTTGCGAGGTACTCGCCACGTCTGATGCCGCGGTCGCTGTTCATCTCGAGGAGGAGGAGGAGGAGGAGGAGGAGGAGGAGGAGGAGGAGGAGGAGGAGGAGGAGGAGGGAGGCAGGAGGGGCTCAGGCTCGGAAGGGGGACGCATCGATTCCCGATCGCTGATGAAATCGCCGGTGCGGATTCGTCATCGGGGGCACATCGCTGACCTAAGAGCGATGCATCGCCGATTCGAGGTCGATGATACCGCACCCTGAGCTGGCCCCCCCCAATCGGTGCCCCTCAGAGGCGGCGGAAATGAGTTTCTTGGGAGACTCTTGGGGCCCTCCTGTGGGCCTCGGGGCCGTCTTGGGAGCGATTGCTCCTCACGAGCTCTCCCGAATTGGGCTCGTTTGGCCATCCGGGGGCCGTCTGGACGGGTCTTGGAGCCACTTTGGGGCGGTCATGGTCTGCCTGATAGGGGGGGAGGTTCGGTACCAAATTATGGGAGCCTTGCATTTCCTCGGGATTCCTTCTTTAGAGTGCACTAGCGTGCGTTAGCGTCTGCTAATCGATGAAAAAGCGCCGATTTAGCTTCGGCTCGAGTCGAATAGCGTCGATTTCGCAAGAGCCAGCATGATGACATCGGAGGCCCCCATGAGTTGCCACAGAAGGGAGGGGCAAGTCCCTCCCGAAGGGGAAAAGAAGGGCTGGAACAGATGGATGAGGAGGGGGCAAGGAGCCGTCAGCGCCGTCACTGGTCTCCCGCTGATATCCTCGATGCAGTCGCACCTTCGGCGCCGTGACTTCCCTACACGTCACGAGAAGCTGTGCTTTCGCAGGCAGGCCCCAGCCCGGATCAGTGACGCCCAGAGGGACTGGTGGGATTGCACATCGCAGCTGGCGTTGGCAGAGATCTGGCGCAGAGGGGGCACCGCTGGCTCCGCCTGGGGCTCGTTTCGATCCCATCGATCCGTTCGATCCGATCGGATATCGATTCCCGCTGGCGTGGACCCGATGCGATTCCGATGCTCTCGCGATCCGACGTCGCCGCCGACGCCCGCACGGCGCCGTCGTGCAGCACGGCGCGGCCGGCCCCGCCACGGGGCGGCAACGGCGGGCGGCCGCGCGGCGAAGCCTCGACGGACGCCCCCAAAAGTGGGCGGCGGTGCTGCTCCAACGAGTCGGCACCGCGGCGAAACCTCGACGGACCCGTCCAAGCGGGCGATAACGGGGCGGCGACGCGGCGAAACCTCGGCGGACGACCCATCCAAGCGGGCGGCCACGAGGCTCGGCGGACCCCTTCAAGTGGGCGGCAGCAAGGTGGCAACCAGGCGGCCACGGGCGGCGACGCGGCGAAACCTCGACGGACTCCCCGAGTGGGCGGCACCGAGGCGACAGTTGGCGGCGACGCGGCGAAACTTCGACGGATCCATGGGATCCTTTATGAACGCAGACGAAGACCCCTAAGTGCAGGCAGCGTGCCGGGAGAACGGCATCCACGTGCTTTGCCCGTCCAGCTTGAGGAGTGTCATGGCTTGCTCTCGGGCGGCTGGTACCGGGGGGCGACAGCTGGGGGAGCGGGTCGGGGGCGGAAAAAAGGGGGCTGATGACTAGGGGGGGGGGATATCATGGCGGGGGTCATGATATTTCCCCAGATTTCATGGCGCCTCTTCTTATTTCATTACGTCCCTGGCCCCCCCGCTGGGCCGCGCACATGCCGTCGGTCATGATTTGCACCCCCCCCCTCTTGGACCTCCTCTCTTGGCCGCTCCCGAGTGGGATCAAAGGTTGCAGGGGAGGGGCCCCAACGAGGCTCACGGGGGCCCCGGAGGTGTACGAAAGGCGCACCGTTTTCTCGCCCTCTCGTCCCGGAGGTCCGCGCGGAGTTCGCGGATCGGCGTTTGACCGGTTTGTGCCACGATCAGCCGGCGTTGCGTGGTGGGGTGGAAGATAGAAGGAGGAGCAAGAAACTGCAAGAACCTGATTTCTCGGAGGCGCGCGCGGATTTCTCGGATCGGCGCTTGACCGCCCTACCTGGGGCCGCGCCGGAGGCTCTGCCAGGGGGCCCAGCGCGAATCCGAGAAATCTGCGCGCATCTTCGAGAAATTGTTTTGTGGTTTGTTGTTCCTCGTTCTATGGTCCACCCCACCACGCAACGCCTGGTGATCGTGGCGCAAATTGGATATCGCCAGATCCCTGGGCAAGGAGAGCCGGCTAGTCATTGGGCCCCGAAGCCCCGAAACATGCGCCAGAATCGTGAAGCCAGATTTGCCGAAGATGGTGTTCCTTCGACTGACGGCTGGTCTCGGGTGTTGCCAGAAGTGCCCCTGGCCCAAGCTGCCCCCAGGATTCCCAAGGACGCCCCCGCGGCCTCCGAGAGCACCCCTCACGAGGCCCGGAGGGCCCAGGGACTCCCAGAGTGGAGCGGACAGCCGGGGGGCACCTGGGCCAGGGGCACCCTTGGCAGCCGCGAACTTCTGGCGCTGTTGGCGCGGGCCGGGCGGGCGAGCGTCCCGTGGTACACCTCACGGAACCGGGCCCCGCGGAGCCCAGCGGCGCCAACGCCAGAAGAGGGGCTCGCCGCGGTGGCGGCGCGAGCGCGCGCGAGGCACGCGGAGCTGGAGCAGCAGAGCGGCGAGCTGCGGCGGGAGCGCGGCGAGCTGCAGGAGGGGCTGCGGCAGCAGGCCCTTCCGAGGGGGGCTCATCCGCGGGGGGGAGGGGAGGGCAACGCCACGGGAAGAGCCGCCCTTGTTTCAAGTTGCCCTCCGATGCCTGAGCCCCCGGGCGGAGAGGGGAGGGGGCCGGCGGGTGCTCGAGGAGACGTTGTGTGAGCCCTGTCGCCGACGGCGCGCTGCTCTCTCTGGAGCCACGTTGGCGTCGCGGGCTGATGTCGGCAGCAGGCCGTTCCGCGGGGGCTCGTTTGCTGGGGGTGGGGCGGGGCAATTTGTGTGTGTGCGTGTGTGTGTGTGTGTGTGCGTGTGTGTGTGTGTCTATGTGTCTGTGTCTGTGTGTCTGTGTGTCTGTGTTTGTCTGTGTGTGTGTGTGCCTGTGTGTCCTCGGGATCCAGGCCGCCCAGATGGGGCCAGGGGAGATGGGGTCGGAGGATCGCCCCGTATGGGCGTGCGGCGCGAGCAGGAACCCGATCTGTTCCATCAAGACGTCGTTGATGCATTGGCGATCGATGCGGTGCAACCTTCCGACTCCATTTGCTCAGGCTCCATTTTGGCGACCTCAAGGAAGGGGTCTTCTTCTCTTGTGTCCAAGATGTCGTTGATGCATTGTCGATCGATGCGGCGCAACCTTCCGTTTTCATTTGCTCAGGCTCCATTTTGGCGGCCTCGAGGAAGGGGTCTTCTTCTCTCGTGTCCGATTCGAAGCGTGCCACGGGGGCTCGCGGTGCATGGCAGAGGACGTACACTGCAGGGGCACGCGGTTTCTTTCAGCTCGTGCAGGCTGCGCTGCACGCGCTCGGCCTGCTCGAGCAGCAGCAGAGGTCTCGGCCGACTTTGGTTGCTGGCCACTGGGCTGTGAACGCGACATCTGGCGAGAGGAACGCGGATTCGCCTTGGACAAAAAGAGAGCGCCCCAAGAAGGCCCCATGATGGTCCAAGCGGCATCTAGGACCGCCCAAGACGGCCCCCAGAGGGCCTCAGGGGCCCCAGGGGGGGAGTTCGAACCGACACGTCGATGCCTCCGCCCCTCGAGCACCGCGAAGACCGCCGGCAGGCCCCGAAGGGACCCCCCAAGAGGATCCAGGAGGCCCCCCAAAGAGGCCCCGAAGAGCGCCCCACGAGGCCTCCCCAGAGACCCGAACAGGCATTCGAGAGGTCTCACGCCAACAACCCAGGCACGGTGGCAGGATGGGCAGCAGGCCACCCGGAGGGGCACGCGCGGACGAGGGGCACCGTGGCCCCTCCTCTCTGCCCTGACATTCCGAGGCCTCGAGCCCGAGGGGACCCAGGAGACCGCCCGCGGGACCCCAAGAAACAACCTCCCAAAAGAGAGAGAGAGAGAGAGAGAGAACACACACACACACACACACACACACACACACACACACACACGAAACACGTACACTTCTGAGTTGCTGCATTGGGACAACGGGTGAAGCGACAATGCAAGAGACCCAAGAGAGGCCCCCGACTAGTCGCCAAAGGGCTTCAACATTGCCTCCAAGAAGTTGCCCAGAGGCTTCCTGCAAGACTACAACAGGCATCCAAGAGGTCTCTGACCCACATCCCAGGCACGGTGACAGGATGGGCCGCAGGCCACCTGTAGTTGCGCCCGTGGACGAGAGGCATGGTGTCCCCTCCTCTCTGTCTTCATTTTTCCAGATCGTCTTCAGGCCCCCGTCCGTTTCTCCTGCTGCTTCTGGCCCTCCTTGCCGTTCTGCCCTCGTCGTCGTCGCCGTCATGCTCCTGGACTCTCCCCCACTCTGTCGACCTCCAATTCGCCTCCCTCGTCTTCTTCGTCGTCTTCCTGGAGACCTCCGTGCTCAAGGAAGAACTGTTTTTTTGCGTGTTCCCGTAGCACTTTCGGACGGGAGTCCTGTCCGCAACCGTCGCCCAATCTTCGACATCCCATTGCGAGCTGGGATCGCGCAGAACCTGAGCGCGCTCGAAGCACGCGCGATGGTTGTAGTGAGGGATGATTGCGGAGTGATGGATCACTGAGTTGGCGTCTAACAGCGAGCAAATATCAGTAATTGCGTGGATGCCGTCAGAGAGGTGACAGACACAGCGCGGCCGGCGTGGCCGTCTTGGCATACCACGTATCTAGGTGGGCAAACAGGGTAGTCTTGCATTAACCCAGCAAGCTTGAGGTATTACTGTCTACATTCCAGGCATGGGTCCGCCGATAGCACGATAGCGTGCGCGATCGTGGTGCACAACGTCGGGGGAAGAACAAGTGCTAACCCTTTCCGTGCTATTGCTATGGTCCGCGATAGTGATGTACATTCCATGTTTGTGTGCTACCTCCCTCGGGGGGAAAAACATTGATCTGTTTGTTGCGCTGGAAGCTCGCCGCTGCTGAGGTCCCGATTGCATTCGAATCGGAGTATGAGGATGTTCCAATAGGACCGCATCTCACATGCAGAAGACCTCTCTAGGATTTGAATCGAGCCACGCTGCGATCCTACCAGGAATCACTGCGCCCTGAGGAGTTGAGCGGGGCATTTGCCTTCAAGCGGCAGTCTCGCGCCTGCCGGACGAAAGCACCCTTGTGATCGGTTGGCCTCCCCCTCCCCTCGAGTTGCAGAGAGCGCCGGCAGGAGCAGCTCTCTGCCTCCTCGTCGGCTGCATACCGGTGATACTGGGCTGCCTGGTTGTGAATCGTCTCCTCATCGTCTCCCCTTTCGGGGCGGACGCCCCGAAAGGGGAGACGATGAGGAGGAGGAGGAGGAGGAGGAGGAGGGGGAGGAGGAGGAGGAGGAGGAGTAGGAGGAGGAGGAGGAGGAGGAGGAGGAGAGGAGGAGGAGGAGGAGGAGGAGAGGAGGAGGTGGGAATGATCAGGGGAGAGGCGTGTGGCACGACACCTGCTGCACGCAGCCTGGCTTCGGCCTCGCCGCGGAGCGCCGGGGGGCGCTGGGCAAGCGGCCACTGGAGCTGAGGCGTCACCCCCCCTTTGAACTAGCTGCCAACCCTCGCCACACCCAGTCCTTCCTCCTCCTCCTCCTCCTCCTCCTCCTCCTCCTCCTCCTCCTCCTCCTCCTCCTCCTCCCTTCTCCTCTCGAATATCGCCAGGACCCCAGAGAAGGGGACCCGGCCAGCATCACTAAACCAGGTCTGCCGCAGCGTTTTTTTTCGGGTGACGGCAGTTCCGGTCAGTGGAACGGGGCGGGGGGGGGCGTCCCCCAGTATACATCACGAAACCAGGTCGCTCTAAACCCAGTTCTGCCAACGCCCGATCCTTCTCATCTGGTCTCGCGCCGCGGTGGGGAGGTGCCGCCCATGGGCAGCGCGGCCGTGGGCCCAGGGACCGCGAGGACCACCCTCGGATTCCTGGGCCGGCCGCGTGGGCCTGGGCGGTCGCAAGAGCGAATGCCCTGAGGGAGCCTCGCACCACGTCGGAGAGTCGGCGGTCCTCCCTCCCGGCGTCCCGCCATGGGGGGCCGACAAATTCGGAGCCCCCAAAGGTGGTGTGGTGACCACACCGTGTGGTGAGTCAGTGGGGATCCGGGGTCGCCGCACGGTTTTGGGGCTCGGGTCGTTGTTCTCCGAGGACGTCTTGGGCGACCGGGGCCTCCGAGGTCCTCAGACCGTGCGGTGACGGACCGCGCGCGCGGTGAGGTCTCTTGGGATTTCGAGGTCGCCGCACGGTCTGTCACCACGCGGTTTTGGGACCCCCGATAGATGAGGGCGATCGAGGGTTGCAGGCCAGGGGCCCTAAATGCGACCAATGGGCACCGAAGGTCCACGAAAGGTGCACCTCTCTCCCCCCCCCTCCTGTTATCGCCCCCCCACCCCCCCCACGAGGCAACGCATTATTGCTGCCCCCCCCCACGAGGCAACGCTTGATCCATTCTTGCTCCCCGCCCCCCCCTCTCTTCCCGCACGACCGCTCGGCAGGGCCTCGACTTCCAGGAGCGGATCAGGACAATAGAAGCGGAGGCGAGGCTGGTCCAGGAGAAGGCCGAGCAGCAGATGGCCGAGGCGCCCTCCTCTTCCTCCGCCGTCCCCGGCGTCGTCCTCGTCCCCCCGTCCCCCTTCCTCGTCCTCGCCCTGGCTATCCTCATCGCCGTCGTCCTCGTGCTCCTGATCCTTGCCCGTCCCATCTCCAGCTCGGAGCCTCTCTGCGGTGCGGCGGATCGCTCCCTTCGCCGAGCCCTGGTCCTCCTCGCAGGCGGTGCGCGAGCGCGACGACGCGGCCCGCGCGCTGCAGCAGGCCCCTGGCCGACTGGAAGGGGGAGGGGGTGAGCCCGGAAGGCCGTGGAGGAGATGGAGAGGAGGGTGAGTTGAGGGGAGGGGAGGGAGAGAGATTCAGAGGCAACGATAGGGGGGGATGGGCATACGGGGGGATGCATCGACCCCCGATCGCCCACGGATCGACGATGACAGGGGCCCGATAGCCCCAGCCTGCCCAGGCAGGTGCGGACTCACGATCTGGGGCCCGTCGCCGATCCATCGGCGGTGTATCGCCGATTCCAGGTCGGTGCAAACCCCCCCTTAGGGCCAGTGCCTCCCTATCGTTGCCCCTCAGAGAGAGGAGCGGGAGCTTGGTGAAAGACAGCGGCTGCCCCCCAGGGGGGGAAGGCGATGGCGCCGATTCGGAGAGGAACGGGGCTGCGAGCTCCGCCGAGGGCAGGGGAGGGGGAGCGGGGCAGGCGAGGGGTCCGAGGAGTGCTTGGGACCCCGGGAGGTGTCCAGTGACCGATCTGGAGTTGCTTGGTAGTCCCCTGGGCGATGCTTAAGAAAGCCAAAATTTTCGGCCAGAGTCTCGATTATTCTTAATGTTTCAAAGTAAATTTTAAGATTTGGATAGACACTCTGGGTTTTTATTCAAGTTCTGAGACTATGAATTTCTTAACCCATGATTTCTAAAGCATTTCGCAGGGTGTAGTCCCCAAACGTGGTGGTGACAACACCTGGCGGTGAGTCTCATGCGATGTGGTGTCACCACCCGGTTTGGGGACTCGTGCGGTTTTCCGAGGATGTCCCGAACGTTGGTGGGTCCAGGAGTCACAGAACCCGGCGGTGACCCCGCGTCCCCAAACCCAGCGGTGACCTTTTTGGGGATTCCAGGTCGCCACTTGGTATCTCACCACCCAGTTTGGGGGTTCCCAAGTTGCTGCTGTCTCAGCCCTGCTCCGAGCATCGTATGAGCTGACCCCTCAAGCGAAAGCACAGAGAATGACGGGGAGGGAGAGGGAGTGGAGACGGCGGAGGGGATGGGGAGGGGAGGGTACAGAAGGCCGGGAGTGGCGGGGACGGAGGGGCAGGGGATGGAGGACGGGAGGGATGGGGGTAGGGTGCAGGTGGAGAGATGGGGAGTGGATTCCGGAAATGGTGGGTAGGGGAGACGGGCAGGGGGTACTGAACGGCGAGGCGAGACCGCCTAGCACGATCAGTGCCATGCAGAAGAGCGGCTACGAATGGCACGAGAAACAAGGAGATTGTCTGCACGGCTGGCGCGAGAGCTGATGCCGACACCAGCGCTGAGGGGTAGGCCCCAGTTCTTCGCACGTGGGCTCTCGTCCCTGCGCCCTGGGCCTTCCACACAGGGACCCCTGCCGCTGGCTGGCATTTGTTGAGGCCATGCTTTGGCACAGCAGCTGCGTCGTCGAACCGGGTGACTCCCCAGAGGGTGATTGCACTTAGGATTCCTAGTTGGGTCGAAAGATTTGGGTGTGCGTGCCGCGATGTTCCGATCGCCGGCCGCGATGTCCTGGGTCCCGCTGGCCCTGGTTGTTTGGGTGTTCCCGTCGCCAGCCATGGTGGCCTGGGCCCCACCTGCCCTGGCTGCTGCGAGGTCGCGGCCGCCGGTCGCGGCCCGCTTCGCAGAGGATTTCTCCACGCTCCCCGTAGTACTCCCATCGGCCCGCCCAGCAACGATTCCTTGGCGAGTGGCCTCGACCAGGGGGGCGCGGGCTCATGCTCGGGCCGGGCGAAAGGGGGGGCTTGGGAAAGGGGGGGTTACGAAATTTGCTGCATGCAGCTGGTTTCGGCCTCGCCGAGGAGCCCCATTCCTCGATACATACGCCGCCTCCGGCGCCGGGAGGCGCCGGGAAAATCAGCTACGTGAGCTGATTCTCAAACCCCCCCCCCTTTGCTATCCCCCGTCGTTCACCCCTGGATCGCTTGCTGGTAACGAAGTCGGAGCCCCGAATCATCAGGGGTAACTCGGGTCAGGGTTAACTCGGGTTTGTTTTTCGGGAATCCGAACCCGAGTTACCCCGGACCCGAGTTACCCCGGATAATTCGGGCGTCCAGAGCCCCACATCATCAGGGGTAAGTCGGGTCAGGGCTAACTCGGGTTCCTTTTTCGGGAATCCAAACCCGAGTTACCCCGGACCCGAGTTACCCCGGATAATTCGGGCGCCCAACGAAGAGGGGTGGGCGCCGCCCTCCTCCTCGCCTGCGCACTCCCGTTCGTGTCCTCGCCCGCCAAGGCGGCGGGTCTCCCGCCGAGGCCCTCGAGGCTGGGGCCCTGGGGCTTCCTGTTCTCGTCCGGGGGCCGCGGAGAGGCGCGGAGAGACCATCCTCCTACACCTCTCCTC